TCGTGCAAGCAAAAGGATTTCCTGTCACTTAATGACTGTTTAGCAAAACGTCAAAATTTAAAAGAATTAATACCTAGATTGCTTCTTGAATTTAGGCAAGGAAAAATAGGGATTATCTCACATATTTTAAAGAGCTTTTCTTCAAATATCTGTTCAAAGATCTGATCGTGATTTCCTAAGATTCCTATGGTGGAGAAACTCGGAACAAAAGGAAATAAGAAAATTTCGCCATTGCAGAGTAGTCTTCGGACTAAAATGCAGTCCGTTTCTTTAGAAGCAGTGATCAACTCTCATTTAGACCAATGTGAACCTTCTTTGAAGGAAGTGGCTACAAAATTGAAAAATTCCTTCTATGTTGACAACTGTGTCACTTCAGTGAATTCGAATGAAGAAGCAGAATACTTTATTGCAAAATCAACTCAGTAATGGCAAGTGCTAACTTGACTTAAGAGGGTGGGAGCAAACAGAACTGAACACTGGAAAATCTACAATGAGCGAACCATTGAAAGTACTTGGTCTTCTGTGGGATAAATATGAAGATTCTTTGTTTTGTAACATCCCTAATATCAACTTGACTGATATCTCAGTGAAAAGACGAAACGTACTATCAACTGTACAGAGAGGTTTTGACCCAATAGGTTTCACATGCCCTTTTACCCTCCTTCCAAAGTTATACTTGCAAAAAAGCTGGCAAACTAAATTGAGCTGGGATGCAGAGCTGCCTGAAGATAAAAGAAAATCTTGAAGTGGGTCAAAGAATTGCCCTTGTTATCCTCTGTGAAGATTCTCAGACTACTTTCATTGACAGAAGGACAATCTTTTAGTTTGCATACGTTTGCCGATGCTTCACATGGATCTTATGCAAGTGCAGTATATTTGAGAAGTCAAAATAAATAAGTCAAAGTGACCCTAGTGCAAGCCAAAGCACGAGTGGCTCCCTTAAAAAAAATAAGTATATCAAGACTTGAATTACTTGCTTGTCTTATTGGGATGCGATTACTGGACCGATTCGTCAACAGCACTGTTCTGGATAAAGAACGTAGAAGTTTGGAGCACTTTGTGAATAACAGAGTTTCAGAAATTAGAATCCTATCGGATCGTGAAAATTGGCATCATGTACCAGGTGCGGAAAACCCAGCCGATATGCCATCAAGAGGATGCTCTGTGAACAAACTCATTGAATTAAGATGGTGGGAGGTCCCACCTTGGTTGGCACTGCCGGAAGAAGAATTCTATCCCAGTCGATAATAAAGAAGAGGTTAATACTGGAAAACGTAAAGCAGTCATAGTTTCGTTAAGCAATGTTAGAGATATGTCTTCACAATTCTTTGGCTTTTTTCAAAGTATAAGAAAATACTTAGAATGATTGGGTGGATACACAGATTTATAGGAAATATCCGAAAGAAGAAAGAAGAAAGAGAATCAGGAGAGTTAAAAGTTTATGAATTGATAAGGGCTGAGAAATCTATCGTGAAGATGATTCAACATGATTCTTTTTCATCTGATGATATTAAGAAGCTGAAGTCAATAAGTGTGTTCAAAGATGACGAAGTCATTTTACGTGTCAGGTCTAGGTTGACTGAAATGAAAGACATGAAAATTTTATTTATCCGATATGTTACTTCCGAAGAATCATAACATTGTGGCGAAATTGATAATTGATAAACATCTCTCTATGTCTCATGCAAGAATTTACGTACTGATGTCAACAACTTGGAGAGACGTTTTTCGATCCTGAAAAGTAGAGCTACGATTCGAAAAGCTTTATATGCATGTGTCAGGGGATGCAAGGAGACATGGAGGTAAACGACTACAGACTGATGTGCCTGCTACTCTACCAGAAAACAGAGTTAGAGAGGCTCGTGGTTTTCGAGATTGTCGGCGTTGATTTAGCTGGCCCATTAATTTTGAAAGTAATAAAAGAAAAGCTTGGATTTTGCTTTTCACATGTGCTGTTTTCAGGGCGGTACATTTGGAACTTGATTTTGTCCCTTTCAACTCAAGGATTTTCACTTGGTCTTAGAATATTTATTGCCCGTAGAGGGAGGCCATCGATAATTTATAGCGATAAGGGAAGCAATTTTGTCGGATCCAATAATCTCTTGAGATCGATTAATTGGAATACCATTGAGATAGAAGCCGTCACAAACAAGATCGATTAGAAGTTCAATCCACCCGCAGCATTATGGTGCGGTGGCTTTTGGGAACGACTTGTTCAAATGATTAAGAAGCTTTTGCGTCGAGTCCTAGGCCAATCATGTCTGAATTATGAAGAATTGATGAGTGTGCTGTGCGACTGCGAAGCAACTGTGAATGCCAGACCACTCACTTATGTGTCAGAGGATTCTGATGATTTCATACCTTTGACACCGTCCTTGTTTTTAGGTGAAATTCCAGCCTTTGGAGTTCCTGACTTGGATCATCTTGATAAAGTTGATTTCAACTAGAGACTGAGACATTTACAGAATTTACGAGAGTTCTTGAGAAAGAGATTTAGAGATGAATATCTCGGCCTGCTAGTGCAACGTCCATCTACAGTGCCGATTTCTCAACAGATAAAAATCGGGGATATAGTTCATATCGAATGTGATGACAAATGCAAGGTGTTGGGGCCTCTAGCAAAAGTATTTGAACTATATTCCGGAAAGGACGGCAACATTCGAGTAGTTCGTGTCAAAACCATGTCTGGAGAATTAGTTCGACCAATCCGGAGAATATTCCCTCTCGAAATACCTTCATCTTTGGAGTCAGATGAGGCAAATGAAACTGAGACGCAGGGTGAAGACAGTTTAGTCTCAAAATTACCAAAGAATAATTCAGCTGCAGATTTATCAAAGGACATTAAGACTGTCGTGACTAGAAGTGGACGACAAATTAAAATTCCATCTAGATTTCTAACCTGAACACTACTTGAGTTATTTTAGAGTAGAAATTTAAGAACTTAATTTTTTCTTTTGTTTATTATTTAGCCTTAATATTTGTGTAGACAGTATTTTTATATTTTGTTTTGATCGATTAAATATATGCCATCAATCAAAAGGTGGGAGTATTGTTAGAACTCAGCCTCATTTGTTATTTTCGTTTCATAGTTTGTCACTGCAAGAGTGGCAACCATCTGATTTTTGTTGTAGTTTCTTGAAGTTCTACGAATTTTGAAAATAAAGATGACGCTTTAGAATTTTATATGTAAAGTTATTTTATTTTTAGTTTATTAGGAGAAAGGAGAACGGGTAGTTCTTGCAAATCTCGAACAAAATAGCGTCACAGTATTTAATACATTTTGATGATAATAATACATGATGAAAATGTCATATACAACGGTAATTTTCTTATACAATATGGCCAAGACTTTCCAACCAATTCAACAGAGGTAGAAAAATGAAAAAAAATACTGAAAATAAAATAATAAATCATGCACTTTTAACTTTCCTATGAAAGGTTACATGTCATCCTTTTACAAAACTTTCTTTACATCCATAGGCGTTGCAGAAGATAAACATTTTTCTTAAGTTTTATGTAACAAAGCAGAACAGTCGACTTTCGTCCCATAGAAATGAATGTAAAGTATTTCCGGACTTTCGGAATTCGGCCATAGTCACGTGATACTAATGCTGGAACCGGTTGGAGGTTGCAGATAAGCTGTCTACCAGTATATATCTCGTTGTCTATACCTTGCATAAAATAGTAGATGATAAAATTGTTTTCACGCAATCGCGAATAACTCTCTCTACTCGTTTGATAAGATCACTTATCCCAACAGTAATCTATCTTGATCTTGACCGCTTACATTAAGCCATCGGATTAAATTTTTCTCAAAAATTTGCAAAACTATTCTCTAATACATACTTCGCACATAAATTTATTTTGTGTATAGTTTTCGTTGTGTAATGGATTACGGCTGCACTGTGTCCTTCAAGTTACCCTCCCCCCGAAAGGAAAAACGAATTATACCGTGAACCTCAAATCTGGCGGGAAACTTTGATTACAGGAAATATATTTAACGCCTCACATACTAAGCACTGAACATATGTACTGACTCCTAAGTGATTACTTATTTTGGCGCATGCTTTGTGGTGCTTCAGTAAGCGTTGTACTAGTTCACCAGCCAACTTAAGGCCGATTTCCGAATAGCCATGCATTATTATTATTTTGTGTAATGAAATCTTTTTCTAATCAAAAGCTTGAAAAGAGAAATGTGCGTGCTTCACTGTTTACTGATACTACTTTAAAGAAATTTAATTGGAAAAGAATGCGTGGTTCTTATTTTCGGTACATAAAACAATTTAAAAAAGACTTTCACGTGAAAAAAATCAATAATGTAAAGTATTCTAGTATTAAAAGCTGCAGGATCTGTTTCCACGTTTCCTTTCCCAAGATTAAACAGTGCAGAATTTAAAAGATTCAAATGGTCATTAAAATATGCTAGTTGTTTTCAAATAGTTCACCTGTTCTATCCTAATAAACAATACACGTTTATAATTTGGAAACTAAATGACTGATTTTGTATCACGAAGAGAGACAGTTATTTTTTCCTTTTTGAGTCCGGAAGGAATACTTTAAGAGTGATAACTATAACATCTCAAAGAGATTGTTATGTATCCCAGGAAAATTTTAATGCAAATTCTCAAATTGGAACTTCTGCCTGAAAGGTTAATATTATACTAATGAAATTAGTATGACCATTGCAGTATTGTTCATATTAGTACCCTCTGCAGGAGTGAGAAAGCTTTTGCCAATCCTGCATCCGACAGATGGTAAATAATAATCAAAGTGTTGAGTCATGATGGGGATAGATGGCACTTTTAAGGGCCAGTCTTGCTTCTTTAATAACAATAGTAATGTAAATAAAATTCACAGTATCAATGATTTGAAATTCGTGTTTTCCTTAAAATGTGTTGATAAACTCGCAATAATTCAGTCCTCAGCACATTTTATTACTACACTCTGCATAATAAAAGTAATGACAATTCAATTGATAAAAAGAATTAAAATACACCTACCTTTTTAGGTGGATTGTTGAAAATAATTTTTGCTTTTATACTGACGTCATCGTTATCATGAAAACTAAAGTCAACAAAAATTGCAGGACTATGGAATTTGAATTTTGCCTTGGGGAAGCTGTAAAAGAATTAATATTTTTCTTGAAATGTTGAAATAACTTTAAGAAAATACATTTCCTTATTTGCACCTCTTACTTACTTTGAGATGATACCTTCTTTTGAAGAGAACGGAAAGTTCTTGTATAAAACAGACATGATTGTTATTGATGATGAACCTGCAACAAATAAAATATTATGGAATGAATGAATTGATAACATTGAATATTCTTTGGTTAGCATTGTCATTTTTTTAAATATTCCTCTTAACTAGAACTTATTAACTCTTAAACGTAGAAAACTATAGGCAAGTGGTAATTTTTAGACTACAGCAATTAAATTTCATTCATACTTCATGCAGTATTTGCAAAGCACATGAAGACTATTTATTAAGTAATTATTAAAGTTAAGAAAAGTACTTTCTATCTAGAATCTCGCTTAAAGAAAGCATTCATAAAAAGATAAAATAATACTGTACTGAAAGTTAATACCGATTTATAGTAATTATATATGAGAATAAATTTTTATTTAACACCATATTTACAAGTAATATAATTACCTATATTTAAACACTGATTATCAAATACTTATCTACTTTGAAACCTTAAAATCAAATTGCTGTGTAAGAAAATACAAGATGTTGAAGGAAACTCTGTAGACTTATCACGACTACTTTCTGACTTTAGTGTGACTTGCTGAAGTACGTTGATGTTGAATGAATGAGTCGTTCACAATTTTTAAGATTTCTTCTACGTTTTTGCACTAAAAAATGAATCTGAGATACCAGGCCTTTACACGTTGAAGCAGAATAAATGAATAAAAATATTGAGATAATTCTCAGATAACGATAAGTAGATTTTAATGAAAAGACCTCTGAATTCTTCACTACATCTACCAAAAGTTTCTTTATCTTCTGGTGCAGCAAGTAAATTAATTACATGTAACGAAATGTACTCACCAAAGAACTGAATGTTAAAGCTACTAATAATAAGCAAAGTTAATCTGCATAGTATGAGAAATTTGTGTAGAATTATAGTTTTGAAGGTAAGACAGAACTTACGAAACTATAGTTTTACGAATTCCTGATAGTATGCTGATTCCCTTGCTTATTATTAGTTGCTTTAATTGACTAATATTTTTAGTCTTCTAGCGTATTTTGGGATTATAAATTGTAGACCCTACTGAAAGACGGAGTATAGCGAATTCTCGCTATGTCTTGAACAATAGATGACTGCAGACGAAGGTTATAACAACCTTTATTATTTAACTAAACGGAACAGAAAATGCAATCACTCGGTGCTCACAGTTTAACCAACACTTACGGCTAAGTAAGTAACTTGAACAGTAAATGGTATGTACAGTCACAGTAAAGTAAAGTTTAGCTACATGACTGGGCTACCTCCCTATTTAATTCAGCTGTACTAATTAAATCAGCTCTATTTTGATCAGCGCTTAATCAGCTGTACACAGCAAAGCCGAACTTAGAACATCAATATAATCTAAATTAAGTGGCTAGCACCAACTACTCAACTAGAAGGCTACTTTTCAACCACGCGGGCATAAATTCAGATCTAACTCTCCTATTATGAGCTTTTAAAATCTGCTGCTTAAATACTGTTTTCGAACTCACTTAGATTTGCGTATACGTCATTAAATTTGCATTCTGGCAGGAAATTGAAACCAGAAGGAAAATGAAAGTTTCTTAAACTAAAAATACACGGTTAGAACAAAATAAGGTCTTTATATATTCTGTTAACCATCATGGCTAATGCCCTACGCGTTGTGGAATTCAAATTTTTCCGATATCAGAACTGATATCTATATGCATGATTTTTTCACATTGTAAAGCTGTATAAAGCTCGGTGTCTTTTCATTTGAATACGGCTTATAATAATATACACATTTAATAAAGGCGAGATGAAATAACGGCACCAAGCTAAGCGCTCGAGATTATGGAGATTTAAAATAATAAAATTCTCAGGATTAAGGTTACAGGCAAACATTTCGAAATTTTTGTATACAATACCCACATTTTTCTAGCTCAAATTGGTCAGGATATTGTAAAAACCATAAATGGTGAGGAAGGATACACGTATGACTAAAACTGTCGGCGGAAAACACTGCAATGAAGAAATTGGTAAAGGACAAATGACAACAGAAGAGAGGAGAGGTAAAACATTTTATTGTAATTATAAGTTGTCAACGTGCCCACCTTTCGCAGACAATAATGCACTGCATGCGAGAAATTGCTGATAGCAATAACGAACGTTACATCGTAGGAGGAATTTGCATAACCTCCTAATATTTTATTAAATCTTTCAATTCTGTATAATCTAATGTCGCGGATTTGATGTGTACAACTTAGATTCCAGATAACCTCAGAATCAGGAATCCATCGGAGTGACATCGGGGCATCGAGGTGCGTACGAAACTTCAAAGTTACCAAGGATGACTCCATCTCCAAAATGTTGTAGTAGCATTTGCCGAACATACGTGGCGACGTGTGGAGGAGCAGCATCTTGCACCCATACAATGTTATTAACGACATTTCATTGCTGCAGTTCTGGAATTACGTAATTCTGCCACATCGGTATATACTGAGCACTTGTGAAGAAACAAATTTTCATACCTGTGGATGTGAATTCGAAGATGTATAGACCGAGAACGAATATGCTTGCGATACCGCACCACACACTCACTTTAGCTTCATATAAAGGCGCTGGTGCTACATGATGAGGATTTTCGTCGGCCCTGTAAACTCGATGCTTGGATTTTAAGTGTCCAGTTAAGGAGAAACGCGCGTCATCTGTCAAAAATATCCGCAGCGGCCACTTGCGCTCTTCATCATATCTGATGAGGATAAAATTCGGAAAGTTGACACGTCGTTGCTCGTCTCAATGTTGCAACACCTGGACGCGTTGGAATCAAATAAGGAAAAACATCCAAAGAAACTTGAGGACCGTGGTTTTTGGTACATCCTAATTACAGACAACAGTTTATGGAGTATATAATGGACATGCTATAATCGTTTTATGCACTTCAACAGGAACGCACAGTAATCCGAATCGCGGAATATCACATGTGGCATTTAGTTAATGTGATTTGTCTCGCCGTTGAGAAGAATATTTCTTGCGACGTCATACGAATTAAAAGTTAAAAATGCTCTAAAAATTTGAGTTTGAAACGTTTTATACTCTGTTTGCATGCAAATGGATATGGATAACGCTCCACTGTATTCTATGTTTTCATGTATTTCTGAACTATCATTATTGTTTACATTTTAGGAAAACTATTATTTTTTTTTACTTTTCAAATTAAGTTTCTGTATGATAATAAACTAAAAGTAGTTTTGTATTATTTTTGTTCCGCGTTCAATTTCAGATTTTGTTAGTTTTCATGCCAGACCTCCGTAAGTCTAGGCTAATTAAAACTTAAGGAAACTTTCAGTATGAAAACAGATTTAAGCAAATGTTATAAATATAGCTGTAATGAAAAAAAAAAAAAAAAGAACATTTAAAATTATTTTAAATTCTTCTCAGACTCAGCTACAGGTACACCAAAGAAAATTCTTTAAGAATCATCTTTAGTCTAAAAATAGAAACTCAGTGGAAAGTTCTCATACAACACTAACACAGCGTAAATTTTACGTAAAATAGCATTATAACTACCTTATAACACTAGATGTTGCATGCTAGCCATTTGTTCTTCATTATCTAAATAATGAAAATTTTTTGACATAGCTACAGGCAAAACAGAAAAACTGTTTTAACATTTATCTTTACACTACAAACAGAAGCTAAGCGGTAAGGTTTCATAGCATTCTAATTCTCATATCAAAGACGGCTGCGTAAAATTTATATAAAGTATCATAATAGCTATTATGATGTACTGTAAAATACACAGGATATTCATACTTATTGCAAAAAAAAAAAAAAAAAAAAAAAAAAAAAAAAAAAAAAAAAAAAAAAAAAAAAAAAGAGTAAGAAATGTACAGCATTTAATTAACAGGATTACTAAATCTCCTTTAGACCAAAATCAACTGTAAAAACATTTTCCTTCCAAATTTTTGAAGTAATTTTTCGATAGCATAAGGGTTTTAAAGTAGAAGTGAGTGGAGTGCCATAATCTTCACAATACACCACATAGGTAGCGCTTAAGTACATTAATCATCTTTAGAAATTTTTGACTTTCGAACAGTGCATCAGTATTGTTCACATCACTTCTGATGTGCAGTCACAAATGAATTCCATTTAGCATTGTATTAATTTTCATGCGCATGGTATTATTTGACACAATGATACTTTTAGCTTGGTCACTTTTCATACAATTATACTCAATTCGGTTTCAATTTATTCCTTATCGTATTGCTCCTAAAGTAACATTTCTGAACCAGAATTACAAAATATACAATCTTATGCAGCATCAGCATATAGGACTGCGTAAAACCATTACGGTTACTGTAAGGATCGTGAATTATAAATAAAGGAAACAGAGCTATGCTTTGCTGGAAGAGCAATATCAGAAGATGTTCAAAAAAAGATCTGATATAAAAATTAGTACTAGTAGCATTTTATTTGCTAGCTGGAGGACTCGTATGTTTGTACTTTAAAAAGAATAAATAAAACTTATTAATATTATCAAAGATGGCTTTTATTGACAATAACCAAATTTCTTACCTTATTGAAATAAAGTGTGGGAAGATCAATATGAATTCCATCTCAGTATGAAATTTTAGAATCAAGAAAGTTTTACTGTTACACTTGGCTTTGTAGATCTTAATTACCGCGAACTATTATAAATCCGCATAATACAGATTTATATTGCTATGCGGAAGGTTTAGAGGCACATGGGTTTATAAATACTAAGCACTGCATTCTAATAAACATTAGCATGTTAGCTTCTGGTATGTAAGCTTAAATGTTTAAAGAAGATCAATTCAAATTAAAATGCTTTTCACAAATAACTTTGGAAGAGAGGATGTACGTTAGGGAAGAGGTTAAATTATTAGAACCCCGTTTAATCAAAGCCAGCCGTATTTAAAATTTCATATCATGTCGGACAATTATTATAAAGAAAGTTTCATCTTTTCGCAAAGTAAGCAACTTTCGAGTAACAAGAAATGTTTTTATTTTTGTAAAATTATATGAGTATCATGTAAAAAGTAACTACTTTGCATGCAAATTCCCTTCTTCTACAGTATTTTATAAGGCAGTTTCAAAGAGTGCTATAAATGAGTTAAAATAAATCATGAGATGTCTGAGTGTCTGAGTTAAAATAAATCATTAATTACCATTGAAATCATGCTTCTTCCGAAGTGTCAAATCATAATCTATAAAACTGAAACAGGAACTTGTGTCATTATCACGCTGCAGTGGAAAATGCAGGATTTTTGGCAATGTCGAAGAGATTTTCAATACTTCTACACCTGAAAGTTGAAAGCAAAGTATGAGTAACATAGCATATCACTTTTACTTTAAAGAAAGGCATATTTTTTTTTGTGTTCATGAAGTTTATTATAAACCATCCAGTTTATAAATTCTTAATCATATGTAACGTTGTTTTGCAGTTTTGAGTTCCACGACTATTTATTTTCAGTCAGCATAGATATACTTTACAATGCTTTTAACAAGAAACATGCTCAAAATTAAAAGGTGATAGAATAGATTTATGTATAGTACATTGGTGTGCAAAATTTAAGTAAAAATGTAAATTTTAATCGGATAACCCTGAAATTGCAGAAAAGGGGTTCTTCCGATCAATAAAATGAACACGCAATTCAGTAGAAAGGTCATGCGTATGCACATATCAGGAATAAAATGTCGCAGGCCACGTGAGCGCACGCAAAACGCATGCGGTCGGGACGCTCAACTCGAGACTACCATAAAAGGAAGGACGGAGAAGCAATTAAAAGCATTCACTACAAGTGAAAGTGAGTTTTTTCGTGAAATATGGCTAGAAGAAATCATCTGGATGACTTCACCTTGAAGAATGATCGAAAAGCTGGAAGAGGGGCGTAGTGTGACCAGTGCAGTTGAAGAGTTCGGAATCAACTAAAGTGTTCTTTCGCTCGCTTGGAAAGCCTTCCAAACCATAGGAACAGCTATTAGAAAGGTTGGTGGTGGCCGGCCAGGAAAACAACTGCAGCAAATAATTGATATATCGTGTTGCAGGCGAAAAGAGCCCGAAACCAGTCAGCAAGCGTCACAGCTCAGCAAGTGTGTACAGCAACAGGTACTGTGTCCAGACACCTTCGCAAAGGTGGTCTATTCAACCGCCGCCTGAACTCTGCACATTTGAAAGCTGGCCATCGGCGTCATCGTTTAGAGTTGTGCAAGGAGCGCAAAAACTGGGCATCTCATCTATGGAGTCGTGTTCTCCTTAGGGATGAGAGTCGTTTTAGTGCCACAAGCTTTTAACAACGCCAATTGATTTGGAGAGAGGTCGGGACATGGTTTAGTCTCAGTAACATCACGGAAAGAGACCGTTACGGTGTCCTTGAGATATCGTCTAGGAAAGCATTATGCTGAACGGGCAAACAGAGTTCGAAACAATGTAAAAAATTAATACTAGCCCCTCAAAAATATTCAAGGGAAAATAAATATGCAGCCTAATTAATCACACAAACAAAGAAAGAAATAAAAAAATACTACCCGAAAGAGACCCGAGATATCACTAATTAAAATTCCACGTTTTCGACAGAAGTTCTGTAACCGGAGATCGCTATTGTCAGAAGGTGATACTTCCCCATGTGCCTCTGTTCCGAGGTGCCATTGGATCAGACTTCGTTTTTATGGATGACAATGCACGGCCACACCGGACTCATGCTGTTCAGAAGCTACTGAAAAAAGCAGATATCACTCGAATGGATTGGAAGCATAGTCCCCTGACTTAAATCCCATAGAACATGTGTGGTATGCTTTGGGGAGACCCCTTGTGGCACGATTACATCTTCCGGGGAACATCCAACAACTGAAACAGATGCTCATTGAGGAAAGGGCACTCTTATCTCAGAATCTGTTGGACAATCTGGTGCTGAGTATGGAGAGACGGTGCGAAGCAACCACTGCAGTAAGGGGAGGGCATATCCCCTACTAAGGAACATCTGCGTGTTGTTCTTCCTCTTGTATAGACAATCACGTGTAACGATATTATGAGTTCAATAAAGCCTGTTTTTGTTTGATTCTATACTGTATGCATTTCATTCGTTTTCGCGCAAGTATTCTTTCGCCATCGTTTAAATACAAAATGCTGTATCTCATGTCTGAATTTCAGAAATTCTCTCAGATGATTTCTTGTGGAGTTCTGCCGAAAAGAACACCTATTGCTTAAGTTTTGCACACCAGTATATTTTAAAACAATTACATGACTACATATCTCCGGAACGAACAGATTCTAACAATTTTGGATATGGTGCCTTTTCGAAACAATGTAAAAAAATTAATACTAGCCCCTCAGAAAAATATTCAAGGGAAAATAAATATGCAGCCTAATTAATCACACATCAAAGAAAGAAATAAAAAGTACTACCCGAAAAGGACCCGAGATATCACTAATTAAAATTTGGAAGAAAATGTATAATTCTGAAGAAGAGTAACTATACATGTAATGCCTTCATGTATAAGATATTTCTCCCGCCTTCTTAGCATGCCTTCGTTGTGTAGTAGTCAGCACGCTCGGCACGTATTTGAGAGGTCTGTGGTTCAAGTCTCGGAGAGGGAATTGCTCATTTTTTATCTCTCCTGATTCAATAATTCCCAATGTCTCTACACATGCATCTTTGGAATGTATAACTGTATTCCATGCTTAATTTTAGATTATATGATGCATTCAGTTATACATGCATCGTCTTTCAACTTTTAAACGCAAATTTATAAAAAGTCAATTTTAATTGCAAAGGTGTCCTACAATCATTATTTGAATGAATGCTTAACTTTATAAAACTAGAATTTATTTATTTATTTTCTATTTTGTATATTATTATTTTTTTTTGACAGTTTCTTTTTTCTGATAAAATTTGTTTAAATTATTTAATTTTTATGATTTGTTTGCAGTGTAAGTTTCTAGCATGCCAAATTTTCGCAGTTTCTTGTAGTTGACCAAATAATAACTAATTTCGGATTTCTTTGCAGAATGTGCCTCAATAAAAATTTTAATTTCATTCAGTTTTCAGAAAAATCATGTCATCAAATTTACCTTTTTTGAAAGCTTATCTTGTAAAGTCAAATGTTTAAAATAATATGCATGTAGCATAATTCTTAAAATAAAAGGATATACAAGTCCTAAGTAACTAAAATTATAAGAAAAAATATAGACATAAAAATTTAAAAAAGCAAATTTTCCATCATAAAAATCTAGGGCTGTTGCATATGTGATTTAGCACATGATATAAAGGATGTCTAATTGAATAGCATACAAAGATACAGATCATTTGAGCAGGTAGTCAAATTCAATGCCAAATTCATATATGATCACAACATTAATTGTGTACGAACATATTCGGTCAATATTGTTACGGATTTTGTATTTAGTTGGCTATTTTTAGTAAAATTGTAATTAAAATTGTTTGATTTACCCGTGCATGCATCTCGGGACGAATTTTAAGAGAAAGCTACGCCAGAAAAGTGAAAATTCAAGAGCACGTGCATTTAACATTTTAAATAAAAATTTATCTCTGTAATTGATATTAATTTGAATAAATGTAACTGACTACAATGTTAACTGTAACTGTAATTCTACGCCTTTTGCTTTCCAGAAATTGCTAGAACTCTCCCGTACGGTCGTCTAAAAAGCTAGTAAAGTCATAGAGAGAACATCTCTCAGCTCAATAGTTGTTTACTTAGTTGTTGTTATTCATTGTAACGGATATGTTGTTATTCGTTGAGATCAGATTAGCATCCTCTGCACCTTGAATTGCGTTCTGTTTAACGTTTTAGTAGTTTAAAATATAACTAATGTGTGATATTGTGATATTGAACAAATATCTTTGCGAAAAAAAACCTAGTGCTTTGTTACATTTCTCGTGATAAGAATAAATTTTGCTGACCTTTTATCAGACTTGTGCAATCAGTCTATTGAATACCCGTAAGTACGCAACAATATTGTTTTGATAAGTTTGAGAAAATGGTAACTATTCAGCAATGAGCTCATCAAGCCGAGAAGTTATTACTTTTCACAAAACAGCAACTGAATTCTTGTAAAAGTTAGATAAAAGATATCTATTTTATTTGCACGATAAAAGATATCTATTTTTTTAAAAGATTTCTTACTTATTTAAAAAAAATCACTAAGTTTTTGTAATATATGTAACATTATTAACAAGAGAATCGACTACAGGCGGGCCGCTTGGAGCCGGTAAATTACTTTTCTCCCTGGGGCCTGTAAACCCCCTGCGTGACTTGAAAGCAGTTTTCCGAATATTTCATTTTGAAATTTTAACCATTTTAAATTTCATTGAGAACTTCAATGTAAAATATATTACTGAATACTAACTTTGTTGATCATGGCGTTGACATTAGTGTCTAAGTGTTCTCATTAATCTGCATTATATAATATTTTCACACTTGAGGTTTAGGAACATTAAGAATATTTTTGAAAGGTAGCAATTTGAATTTCTTTGTGTAATCTTACCTTTAATAGAATTGTTCCTATGTCTAAAATTGTTTATACATACATACTAGAAATTGTTATTACAAGAGTCTTGAAAGAATAAATGAATATTTGTCCAGAAACTATTCCTGAGTATTTACTAAATACAACATAATTTGCGACCCGTGACATTTCAAGGCATAACTTAAATCTAGCGTCAGAGAAACATAAGTTGGCAGCCACGAATTAAGAACTATGCTTTATTTTAATTATATTTTGGTTACGTTTCTCTATCTAAAAGAATACTTTCTCTTTATCTCAAATAGCGTCTATATCGTAAATCTGCTTACGTTATAGAACAAATAAGCAATTTCAAATTCATTTGTAAAGAAGTATTTATAATTTTTGTCTAAATTTTTTTATCATCCCTAAATCACTCCTTTATTATTTATGATACTTGAATTATTACCAATTATAAAACATAATTTAAATTAATTATACATTTTTCTAAAAGAAATTCTTAAATATATAAGGAGCAGTTAAATGAAAACGAGACAGATGGGGAACAAAGACAAGATGGTCAATGCCATCATGGAAAAATGCTTTAGTTTGCCTACAAAACCATGATTGTACCAGGCGTGCACCTCTTCATCCGAAACAAATTGACTGCCATGAATATCTTTTTTCAGGGCTCGCAAAATATGGAAATCGCAAAGGGAGATATTTGGACTGTACAGGATGTGTAAGCGCTTCCCAGCGAAACTTCTGAAGCCATAGCCTTAACTGACGTGGCAACACGTGGGCGGGCATGAACCTGCAACAGAATGATATCATTCGTCAACATTCCTGCACCGTTGGACTTGATGGTGAGCTTCAACTTTTGCAAAGTTTCCACGTACCGCTACCGCTGTACCGTAGTTTTGCACTTGCTGCTGCCGTTAATTGTGGTGCCGTGTTCCAGAAAGTCAATGATCAGCGGGTCCTTGCACTCAAAGGAAAAGATCAGCACGACTTCACCGGAGCTGACGAGCACGGCGTTGGATGTTTTCGGTGTTGGTGAACCTATGTTCTTTCATTGGGGACTCCGACGCTTGCTTTCTGGCTCAAAATGATGGGGCCATGTTTCATTTCCTGCGACAATATGGGACAGGGAACAATATTCTTCATCGTGGTACCATTCCAGGTGCTGCAGTGATGTCTACATTCTATTCAACTCCTGATCCTTCGTCAGGCTGTGGGGAACTCACTGCGCACAGATTTTTCAGAACTTCAGATGCTCTATCAAGATGGCGTAAGCAGTACCGTGACTAATGCCCACAATAAACCGAATGTCTTCCACCGTCTGCTGTCGGTCTTCTCTAATGGTAGCATTCCCCGCAGCAATGGCACGAAGGGTAATGGTACGATGAGCTTGTTCTGGCCGAATGTTGTCTTTCAATGACAACCTTCTCGATAAGGTGCATTCCATTCAAATATATGGTCATGTTATATACTGTATTCGCAATGCACATCAGGTATTCGGGCATCAATTTCACTTCTTGACTTTCCTTCGGTAGTCAAAAAACGCACTACAACTCGCTGTTACTCTTTCCCGGCCTGCATAGTGATGGGGGGTGCACACACTACTCGCTGACCTCACTTCAAGCATGTCTAACTGGAAAATGACACAGCAGTGAGCGTTCGCGTTGTTCTTTCCTGATTCCCAATAGAGTGCCGCTTCTATACATAAATTTCCCTGCGCTACCGAACTCCGCGCAATGCATCACCATGTCTATCCCGTGTTCATTTGACAGCCTTTTATATGTTTATTTTATAGCTGTCTTGACTTAGCGGTTTTATAAGCATTCTAGAAAAGACGTTATCATTTTATTCTGCATAAAGTGAGAATATAATTTGGAAGAAGTATTATAAAATTATTTGTTTCAAAATAATATTTAAGTGTACTTCACTTACATAAACGGTTGCTAGAAAAGTAATTAGCAGAGTATGGTTCAGGTAAGCTTGCTTGACCGTACGCCAACGTCAAATTCGTTATTACGTGATGAAGCTTTACATTTTCCTGTGAAAAAAAATGTAAATTCAAAGGTATTTTAATGAGTTTATATTAAACAATACCGAATTTTTATTTAAAAAATGTCATTTCATGAAAGCTATTTGAACGTCAGTCAAGATAACGATTTGGATTTACAAATATTTGATTCACGTTACTCTAATAAAATAAAAAGGAAAGGACATATATATTTTAAATGCAACAAACATAATTTAAATGCAACAAAATGACGTAAATTTCTTATATCATATAATTTGAGATAAATTTTGTAAAAATAAAATTTAGAATTTGCATTTTTCTGCATTACAGGCTGACTTTATATCTGCGATCTATCACGTGACTATGCACATTTCTCAATGCACAATTTTACTCTAGTGGGCACTGTACCCACCTTACATTCTATTTTGGGATTAGAAACAGCATTACCTAATCTTATTTTTCCAATTTTCATGACTTGCTTTTCTATACATTTTCTTAATTTCAGGCTAAGACATGGAACAACCTCAGTCAATCAATGCAGTTGGTACGCTCACCTGACAAACGGTCACACCCTTTTCTGCACCTTCCAGCTCACCCACCAACGGACTCTGATTAGGACTTTTACTGTTCAACTCCCATGGCGGCATTATTTTGAGCAGAAACACATCGAATAAAATACTCAAGAATCTCGGAAAATAGTGGTAGTTAGAGTTCAAGTTTGAACCGACTTCTGGAGTATGGCTCGTCGACTACACTCTCTTGGCCCCCACTTTCGTCTAATACAATTTCTTGTGTTTACATGGCAAAATGTGACTATAGAACGTTGTTCAAAATTTCGCAACTTTATTTCTACAACGCACTGCTATTATATACACTGATATATATTGTTTAAGCAGTACCTAACGACAGCTAGGTATTGCTTAAACAATGTGTATCAGTGTATACAATAGCAGTGCGTTGTATCAAGTGCGTTCTACTTATTTGCCCTTCGCAAGTCGCCTGAAGGTCAAATAAGATTATACTCTTCGTCTTAAATTCTGGAATGTCGTCAATTCAAAATTTTCCTGCAATAATCGCATTACTATTCTGGCCAGTATTGTAGAGCGTGTTTATTATTGCTTATCCCGATCTAATCATAAAAAATTATTAGTAACGTAAAGGGATTATAGGCGCTTTTAATTCCTTAAACATTCCCATTTGAAGCCTCGATACTTACGTTTGCTTCCTAAGTGTAAAAAAAAAAAAAATGTAATCAAAGCAGCCATTTTAACTTTCTTTTACATTATTGCCGTTAAGATACAAGTGGCTTCTAAACTTAGATTACGAATTTTGCTTCAGAAAATTTTAGAAAATTAATATATTTTAAGGACATAATGATAACACTGCCATACAAATTGACCTTACTTTATTCTGCTAAATAATTATGCTATTTATAATAACTTTTAATTTAAACTCATCTTAAGAAGGTTTAAATTCTTTAATTAAAATATGCGTCTTAAAACATAAATCAAGGTTTACTATTCCCATAGATATGGCACGCTATTCAGAAGTTAAAAGCGTAAAGATATATTTACATAACGAAGATATAGTGAGCTTACATTACAGGGCCTGGTTCTTAATGTGGAGATTGTACACTAATATAAGTTTTGCCTAAAATAAAATTTTAAAAAGCAAGCCAAGCAAATATACAAGTATTGAAAAAGCGGACCTGGGCACGTGGATGGCTTACAAATTTTATTGACATTTGCATGTTGATTCAAAGTTATTTTAGCCAAATACTATAATTTATAAAACTTGAGCATATACCTCATTATCTACTAAAATAAGTGCATTTATAAAGCAAATTAAGAAGTATTGAAAATGAGCAGCGTTTTTATTAAAACTTTACTATTACTTCTTTACATTAGTTTTATCAACGGATTTTAAAAATGGTTTATATGAACACAGTTTGCAGTTCATAGATTGAGATAACTTCGTACTTAATCTTAGACTTGATAAATACATTTTTTAAAGATCAGAAATACTTACGTAATTCTTCTGCACGAGTGTTCTGTTTAATAAGACTGATGATATATTTAGAACAAGCTGCAAAACAAAAGTTTTCGGAAAGATAATCGGAAAATTTGCAGTGAAAATACCAAAATATTTTACTATTTATACAATAAATAATTGAAGTGAGTTAAAAATTAATAAAAAATATAAAATCTCAAAGCTTTCAGATTTTATATGACGTCCAAAGAAGCATTTTGTTAACGTTTTGTGTGTTATCTAATTAAATATGTTCTTTGCACTTAAACCTTATAAAATTCAATTCAACATCACTATTACAAAATATTTAAAAACAGCATATCTTTAGAAATTCCGATACATAGCCACGCGCGCTGGAGATAAAAATACTGCTTTCAGTACAGTGTTGCAACTGTTCGCTCTTTGAAATCGTTTTGTTGATCAAAAATAGGTTAAAGTTTAACAAAATATCAAATAGGTAATAAAACACTCGGGCGTCTAGCTAACATGTTCGGGTGGACAATTACGTTATTCAAAATTGGATGCCTCTAGGTACCGTCGTTTTTTCACAATGCGAGAAATATAAATACATTCCTGAAAATTCTTTATTATTTAATTTCTTTACAGGCGATAATATTTTGTGGCAAGAATTTAAAAAGTGATTCGCCGTTTATAGTGAAACGCCGTTTTGAGACTTCTGAGCTAACGCTCCTTTGGGCTAAAATTATAACCTCCTCCCCCCCACAAAAAAATGCTTAAAATAACTTCAAAATTGCTTCAAGCACATTTCGGTGGTGTGGTGGTGGTGTATTTAATTATGGCAAAGCACACTAGGGCTATTGCCTAAGGGGAGGGATGCCTTCGTGGAGGACTTTCTGAGGGAAACTGGCTCGTATACACGTTACACATGGGGAAAACCACGAAAACACCCATGCAGCCAGCCCGTTCGCGGGATTCGAACCTCGGACCGAACTATCAGTGTTCAGCGACTTTACCGCTCGGCCGCTGGTGGGCCCAAGCACATTTCGGAAACGTCAACTAATTTCTTCAGCCGAGGTACTCACGATATGTGACGCTATAAAATTTCTTTATTAATTATGCTAATAAATACTTTTCATTATCAAATAATTTCAAATACTGAAAAGCATTAGTAATGCAATATTGTCAAATGCCTTATTATGTTGTATTGTTTATAAATAAAGTTACGCTATACTTTCAGAAACAAAACAAAGACCGTAATCCATGTGAGCCGACAATTTACGATTAAACAATTACATTATTGGTGCAATATAGTGAAGACAAATAAACTACAGATATGATGCAGTAGCTTAAGAGAAGATTGGAGAGATAATGTCGAGAGAAATTTTGAATGACAAAATTATTTTTAATATCAAAATTGATTAAATAATTTTTGTTACTTAAAATTCAACGAATAAAATTACATGTATTATCGCATCTAAATGCATTAGAAGCTAAATCTAATGAATTTTCTTTTTAAATAACTGAAAATAAAATATGCTCCTTTAACTGAAAAATTATTATCGATAATAAAAAGTGAATTGTTGTTATCAGTAATTAAAATAATTAGTTTATATATTTTCTGAGCAGTAAGAGGTTTTCCAATAAGATTTTACAATCTATATACATATATATGCGTGTGCGTGATAAACTTAAGTAATTGAAATTAAAAAGAATTAAATTAATAATTAAACGTTAATTACGCTGAAACGCTATAATATGCTTTAATTCATGTGCATTAATTATTAAACTCAGGAAAAAATCTAAGTAAAATTAAAAATTATTTTCAAATGGCGAGGTGGAATAATGAACCGGCATAAAAATGAATTGACGCAATTAAAACAAAAAATAAAACCGCGATTTTTTTTGTGATAAAATAAGTGGTTGCACCATTTTTAAAACATTTTAATGTCAGAATAGGCGATTAAATCAACAAATTCTATTTATATGAGTGAAAATTCATCCTGATATTAGAATATGATATCATAATTTAAACATTTCTTTCAGTAATTTGTTGATAAGAAAAGTAAGTTATTTTACTTGATGCTTTACTTTGAGTTAAACTATTTGAAAACATATAGCCATTCAACCCTTTTTGTGTTTATATGATCGATAATTCTAATTAAATATATATTTAAAATAATGTTCGATAATTATAATTTATCGTACTTAAAAGATTCTGTATCATTTTGAATTTCTTATTAATTTTAAAATGCTCAGTCATTAAATTGATTTTGAGTGTTCACGAAAAACGAGAATGAAATTTTGTAGTAATCCCATAATTAACGCTCAGGATCACGTTTTCAGAAAAACTAAAACGCTAAATGGAGTGTCACTGAATTAAGGGTAACTATGTAGCACTTTGCCGCATTTATGCTCACGTGAGGGCGTTGTGGCAACTGTATATATAGCTAGTACTATGGTTGTTGTTAATTATTCGTTTCAATTGCCAACATGGGTACAAATTCTGATTTCGACAGATAGTAGGCGCTCGACGCATGGGCCATTCAACTTCAGAAATCGTTAGAGGGCTAGGAATTTCACGGTCAGTAGTGTCAAGCATATACCGAAAATACATGTATGCTGGTGCAACGTTCGCTTCACCATATGGGCTTCGGAAGCCACGAGAGTACCATTGCTCAATGCATACCATCGAGCTGCACGTCTTTGCTGGGCAAGAGAACACATAAAATGGACACTGGAAGACTTGAAACGAGTATTATGGAGTGGTGAATCTCAATTCTGATTACTTAACACCAACGGGAGACTGAGAATATGGCGTCAGGCTCATGAAGCCATGGATCCTGCATGCCAAGTTGGAACTGTACAAGACCATGGCGGCTCAGTCATGGTTTGGGGGTGTTTTATCGGCAACCCTTCCTGAATTATGGACTGCTCTATCCAATGTTTAGGAAACCATTCCCGTAGAATGCTTCCGCAAACTTATTGAATCTACGCATCGTCGTGTGGCAACCATTATCAAGGTCAGGGAAGGCCCAGCTCGTTATTGACTTGCTATCCCTAATTCAGTGGCACTTCAATGTAATTAAATGTGCTATTTTAACACCTAGTAAATAACTACAAAGAAATAAGAGAAGTAAGCAACAAGCAATAAATGAGATTTGCATTGTAAATTAAAACTTATTCATTAATTTCACGCTGACATGAACAATTATTATACAAGATTATATATATTTATAGCTTTACAATCGAATATTCAGGCTGTTCATATCTGAAAATTTAATGTTGCAAATGATAAGTGAAATCCGATTTTTTCTGTTTATGAAGACTCTTAAAAGAGTCCTGAAAAATTCATCTATTTTTCAAACATGTTGCTAATTTACCATGAATTGAATTTTGAGTTTGTTCTCAAAACATGTACTTAGATAACATATAACTTGGCGAATTGCATCTGCATCTTTACCTCTTCGATTAAATCTAGCCTAACTATGCACTAGAAGGTTATGAGTTTTTGAATAAAAATACTCATTCATTCAAACGAAATCATTTTATAATTTACACTGTTCAGTTGATACTTACCTGGAATTAAAACCATTTCACAGAATTTATAGCCATGAAATATAATTTATGGTAAATGCACATAATTATCATTAGCATTATTGATCGGGATTGGGAGAAAATGTACTTGATTGAATCATTCTTAAGCAAATTAGAGTACTGCTGAAATTTTCTGATAGCATTTTGCAGTTTCTGTATTTTCAGATTTTGTAATTGTATAATAAGGTGACAAAAGTAATATTTAAATTCAAATGACAAAATAACACTTACTACCCAGTTTTGTTCTGCATGATTTTCTATGAATGAATCTATATCAGCTTCGAAAAGAATATCAACAATGGGTTCACCTTCAGAAGGATGGATTACAAGATGCTTCAAAGACAAAAAATTCCATAATTTTCGTAGCAGAAAATTCACAGTACGGGATCTGTAACCGAATTTCCGGCTATCAAACTGTAAAATGGAATTAGAAAATATAACGTAAGGGAGAAGTCATTAACAGCTTTTTAAAATGGCATTAATATATCCCATCTCGTGAAAATATTAAAGCTTATAACCTTAAAATTATACCGCACAGTGCCTTTACCAACCACCTGTTATGTAATATTATAAGTTATTAGTTGTTTGATAAGATACTATTAATACTTGTTGTTTGATAAGATACTTAATTGCGTGTTAAACAACTATTAATAAGTTGTTTAACACGCAATTAAGTTATATAATTCGGCGCACACAGTGAACAAAATAAAGCTTTATTTGTTAGTTTCAAAAACTGCGCTTGACAGATTATTTCTATACACCTGAGTATTCTAATTAAAAACTGTAAAATTAATTTATATTACAGAATGGGTGTCATTGTAATGGGGGATTAATACTAACTAATTTCAGATTATAGGACATTTTATCCCAGAACAAAGCATTAATTATCACAGATTATATTGCTACATAGAATGGATTATGTCAAGTATTACTTAGTATATAAATTATCGCTTTCTGAAACGCTCTTTGTGTGTTATGCTTTAAGAAATCATTTCATAATTAAATTTATTGAAATAGAACTCTCTGATGTAATCCATTGGCAGCTTTGGTGGATATGACAAAGAAATCAGTAAACACGAAACGACTCCAAGCATTAAAATGAACACTACATATACTTTTACATATACTTTTTCCGTAAAATATGGATACATATATTTATCTTAAGAAAGCATGCTCAAAATACTTTAATAAAACAAAACTTCAAACGTGTTTTAAAAATGCAGCTTATTTGGATGCAAATAATAATGAATTCATGTAATAAGATATTCAAATTTTCAAGATCTAAATGTTTTTTACATTAAATATATCTCAAGAATATGTGATGAAACTGTTTTTTTAATTTATGTGATATGTAATTCTTTAGCTAATACTTAAGTTCAGAATACATTTTTAAAGCTAAGTATTTTTCTTAAAATATTTTTATATTAATTGCATATGGTGTTTCTTACACGAAAATCAAGTTATTGCAGTCTTCTTCTCTTTATTTTGAAGTTAGAAGATTAGAAGCACAATTCCTTTTAACAAAGTGTAGTCGATTCCAGTTCGCTTCGAACGAAAAATAAATGCCTGGATTTGTCTTTTTTTATTTTTTTGGGAGTGCTTTCCAATTTAGTGCTAAACCGTTGTCTGAAAGCATGAAATTTTTTTCCACTTAGTTAATAGAAAGGCTAATAGAAATTTCAGGCTAATAGAAATTTCCAGGCTAATAGAAATTTCCAGGCTAATAGAAATTTTTTGAGCGTGGGCTCTTCGAATTGGTGCTTCGTCTTATCTTCTCGTCAATCAGTCTCTGAAGTTTTCTTTTGTGAATAGATAACTGCATTATGAGGATGGGTGCCCTTCCTCTAAGCAAACCTGTATCACAAATTTCGCGTAACATTCATATATTCATATATATCAATAATTATTTTTCTTTTTTTAGCGTTCTGTTGACAAAACCGTGCGGTGTTTCTCGTGCAGAATCAGTGTAGTCTCATTCCCTGTACTGATTCTCATGCAGAAATTATTCTTTTTTCCAAGTTTTAAAATATGCTCCGAAATGTAAGAATATAGCTCTAAGTTGAGCTTCCATAAAATTTAGCATAAGACAAGTTCTCAGCTGTGAAAAATTTTCCAAAAAGTAGTAGTAATGCGTGATATTAATAGCTACCTACAAAACCAGCGCTCAGCTGTCGGTAGGGTGAAATTCCAAGTTCACGAACATTAACAAAGCTAACACAATGATACGAGTGAGATAAGCTCTTTTAGAAAGAAAAGTTTCGAAGAAAGAATACATAGGGTTACACTGGATCTGGTAATGTTACTTAAGTCATATAGCTCTAACATATGTGAAACAAGTTATCGTTATATCTGAGATCAAAGATAAAATCTCAAGAAGGTCCTAATAAGCTTTTTAATCAAACAGCATTTAGAACATAACCTCCATCCCAATGACCACAACGCGCAGTGATGCAAAATAAATAGAACAGTCCAATATAACTTATCGTTGAACAGCAGCCAAAAACTATCCAATTAAATACTATAGCAGAGGCTGGCTCACTAACTCTACAGAGTGACAGAATTAAGCGCAAACCCGAATAATTACAACTATTACAGCTGGCAGGAAACTAATCACGTAGGACGCACGGGATGCCGGAAACAATCTTCTATCTCAAATCTAGACACCTCAGTTTAATACTCACTTGCATTTTGGTGCAATTCTGCAATTCAGTTGCATTCTGAAACACTTTAATACTCATTTGCATTCTGATGATGAATACGAGAAGAATATAGTAGAAGCTGAAATGAAGGTAACTGGTTAATTAAAATATGATTCCTTACAAATAAGTGACTGCTATGAATAAAATTCCTAATCAATAATAAGTATCAAAAACCAAGCTTTACTTTCACAGCGAAGAAAATAAACATTAACCCAAAACGAAATTTCAGTTCACTTGTACTACTGAAATTTAATAATATGAATACGTGAAGCATACTGTTGTTAAAGACTAATCAACTACGGAAATAAGTTCGATTAATGTTCAACTTAGCTATTAAGGAAAAAAAACTGTAAGATAAAATAAGTTCTAATAGTTCTGACCTTTTGTTGCAGTGAGGTCTCTAAACCAACCATGAGCCTCGTGCGTTAATAACCTTAAAATTTCCGCAATGTTTTATATAGTATCATGTATCATACCTTCATATTAATTAAACTAAGAAAATAATTACAATATTCTCGAAAAAATAGAGCTTCCATTACCTGCTTTTTGACAGCCAAAATTGGAGGAGAAATACATCTCGAAAAATCCGGCTTCTCCCAAGTATTAGAATGATCGCTTCCCACAATACAGTAACGTTGTACATAACCTAAATTAAAATTAAAATCCATCTATGCTTTTTAAATTAAACATTTCTTCTTTATTTAATATAATTTAGAAACGCTTAAGTAATACTTATTTTTCACAATTAAGAATATTCTCTAAATCTCCTAGAAGATGTTTCACCATTTTTTCTTAAGCTCAGAAATTATTTAAATTTAAAAATATTAAATATCGAAATAATTTAAGTTAAAAATCATAAAGGTCAGAAATTATTCAATTTATCTCTTCAGTTTAGAAAAATATATCTAACATAAATTAGTTCATAATGCATAATAATATTTGAGAATCTACAATACTTTAAAAGTACTGCTGAATGAACTCGTACCTATACATAATTATAGAAATACACTTAAAATACATCAAAATTTTAGTTATGAATTTTCGGTTAATGGATAGATTTTTAAAATCTACCGGCATTGTATCAGCAAAGGCTAATTGCATACAGGATACAGGTTTTCTTTATCCTTCAGCCCTGATCCGTGTGTGCCATTAGGACAGGAATCAAACCACGGTCAAAACACAGACACATAAAAAAGGTTTTGCTTACATATTTTTAGAAAGATTTTAATAAAGAATTAGAAAAATCTGATGTGTACATCACATGACTTCCTTATACGGAATATTAAACAACACGAAATTTTCCTGCATTTCATTTAAATTTATTAAATTGAACTAAATCTACTCCGTCGATAGCGCATAAACCGCATAATAGAATAAATGCGCTTTCTTGTACTACTGAAAAAAATATTAAATATACTTATTTACCATAGCATTCACTATACTTATTTACCATAGCGTAACTCTGGCGATAGGCTCACTTAACAGCATTACATCTCATTGATTCTATAACTCAGAATGCGCAAAAATTATACCATCTGAAGAATTATCTAATCATTGTCACATGTTGTATTCAAATACTAGTATATTTAATCTAAAACGATGCATAAAAGAAATTCAACAAATAAAAATACACAGTTTTTCACAGACGTTTCAACGCTGAGTCACTATATGGGATAATTTAAAAACTTAAATGTTAACTCCAGAATGGATTAAGCATAATTACGTTACTTTGTTGTTGCGAAGCTTAGTTTCTCTAGCTTGGCAACAAATCCACTATTCTGCTAAGTTTCAAATGGAAATACTATATACACTGGTTATCATAAGGAAAAATCACAAAAACCACGATTACTGAAAACGTTACATGTAGAATTTTATGAAACTTACCCACAATATACAACACATAGTAAGGTATCAAATCAAATAAAAAGAAATTATCAGACAATTATGGTAGTATAGAAATTAGCACATGTATAAAATGAACAAATGGAAGATGTCAGTTTGCTACAGTAAAAGTACCTTCAATATGGAATATAATCGCCTCTAGAAGCAATACAGTACATTCAGCGATGTTTGATGCTTTCAATTATGCGGTCTATCAGTTCCATAGGAAGCGAGAGCCATTACTCTTGCAAAGCAGTTGTAAGCGCGGCAAGGGTCTAAGGGGGGGGATTGAGAGCAGCTAAACGTCTCCCTAAAGCATCCGAAACGTGCTCAATAGGATTCAAGTCCGGGGATCGAGCTGGCCACTCCATGCGCATAATTGTTTCCTATTGAAGATAATCATATACGATGCGAGCCCTGTGTGGTCTTGCGTTGTCGTCCTGTAACAGGAAAGCATCACGTATTGCCCCGGTATATGGGTGCACATGAGCATCAAGGATGTCATCTCTATAAATATGAGCATTCACTGTTCCCCTTGGATAAACATATAGGTCTGTGCGTCCACCCAAAAAGATGCCACCCCAAACACAGACACTGCCTCTTCCGTATGCATCTCTTTTACGGATGTGTGACGGATGATAACGGGTTCCAGGTTCTCTCCATATCAAATAATGCCTACTATCGCGTTCTAGACTAAATCTGGACTCATCCATAAAGAGAATAGCCCTCCATTGCTCAGGCGTCCAGTGGACACGTTGTCGTGCCCACTGAAAACGGTCCATCCTATGGCGGGATTTGAGCAGCACTCAAATGGTTGTTCGCCGCGCATACAGACCTTCGTGAAGCCTTCTACGCACAGTCAAAAGGTTGATGTCACGACATTGACATCAACCTTTTGGTGGCTGCAGCAAGGGAGGATCTAAGAACAGTCGGAGTAGCGGTTCTATTCCTGAGTGCACATAATGTCAAATATCGGTCATCGGCGCTCGTCGTAGCAGTTGGTTGTCCTCGGCTGAACCTCCTAGGGGCCGAATCTGTGATTTGAAATTGCCTCCAAAGTCTATGAACCACAGAAGGACTCACATTTAGCCATATGGTCCCTTCTGTTTGACTTTGTCCTGCCTCTAGTCTCCCAATGGATTTCTGTAGTAGTCTGCAGGCAAATGATGCCTGGAGATCATTGTTACGAATTGGCTATATCAGATTTCTGATGTCAATATCACAGTGAAATATGTGGGCTTGCTCTCAAACATGGACTTTTATGCTCCTCGCAGATGACGTATTCCGAGTGCAACGCCACTAATTTGCATATTGGAGTTTTACTCAGCTACTCTTACTGGGCAACATATTCAAATTTTACACGGTTTGGCTTATTTTTGAGGGAGTTATCGCCATTTTTGTGATTTTTCCTTAATTTATGATAACCAGTGTAGCTGCTACGGCAAAAAAATAAAAATTAAAATTAAAAAAGAAAAGGATTAGCCTCACTTAATTTTTAAATTGTTGATAATTTTATAACTATAATATGCAGATTAACTAAAGGCATGGAAATCTTAACCCAAAGATAAGAACAAAATAATCCAACCGTTTTAAAATCAAAAAACGCACAATTCACAAACATATAAGAATAAAGAAATTGAGCTCACTGAGCCGAGTAACAGAGTGGATATACATATCCATATACTTATATACTTTTGGTGCGGCAGATTGCAACCAAAATAGTAGGCCCACATCTACATGTTATAGCAGACCTATATGCAAAATTTCAAGTTCCTGAGGCTGCTTGTTTTTGAGTTATGCGAGATACGTACGCACGTACAGAAGGCAACGAAAAAAATGTCTTCAGAATCCATTTGGAATCAATTTTATAGTAGTTTTTTTTGGGAGGGGGTGAGGGAAAAGTCTTTTATTCTGTCCATACGTACAGATGTAACGCAAAAACATCGTTAAACTGCATTCGATAACTGTCAAAATGAATATTTTCGTTGAAGTATGATACCTGATATTTTTGGCGAATATAATACTTTCTTTTTACTTCGTACAAAGAAGTAAAATGTAAATGCTTTGGAATAAAAGTTTTTGGACTCAGAATATTATTATTATTATTGCTTATTACGTGCTGCGCCCTTGGGCACTACACGGGAGGGATGCCCCATGGAGGTCGTTTTAAGGGAAACTGGCTCGTATCCACGTTACACATGGGGAAAACTCCGAAAACGCCCATGCAGCCGGGACTCGAACCCCGGACCGAAATACCAGTGTTCAGCGGAATTTAGCGCTCGTCCGCTGGTGGGCCAGAATGTTATTTGAAATGAGAACTCTCGTCTGCTATCCATACCCCTTCTTCTTTCAAAATGTCGCATGTAAAGAAGCTGTGGATTAAAGAATATGCTCTTCTGTTTTCCGTAGAGAAGTATTCCAATTCCATTATTCAAAAACATTGTGAAATACATAATTTTAATATTTAGTGGAAAATAAGAACTATTATTAATCAGAAAAGGGAAAAACCCAGCCATTACTTCTATATGGAAAGAAATCTCCAAACAAATACCCGGAAACGGTACGTATTGTTTATATTTATACGGCTAAATAGTTAGTAACAACAGAAAATCCCCCGATGCAGAAATAAGTTTCTAAATCTTTAGGGGCAACAATAAATAAAATAATAAACCAAGATTTACAACTTAAAAAAGCTAAAACGTAATGTTCACCAGCTTTTGCCGAGACACGTGGTTCAAAGCAGAACAATTTTTAGAACCCTGTATGAAAACCATTTATTTAGCATTAAACAATTGAAAGTCCTCTTTAACTAAATGATTCTTTTTGTCCTATATTAATCGAAGAAATTCCATTTCTTTATCCAGATGACTTTCAAAGAGTGAAACGTTTCCAAGACAAAGCAATAAGTCATACTTTGAAAAGCACTACTGCATTTCTTGACGAAATGAAAACTGATACATGTATAGCAGATACAGCTTCTCAAGGTATTCCTTCGAAGTCCGCTGACGTTTCATCTAGGAGCTACTGTGCCTTTGGTCTTTTCTTTCTAAGAGCAAGCTACCACGATTTATAGATTCGAGAAAGTAGTGGAAGAGGAATAGAAATGAATATCCCTGAGAATTTTGAGAAAAGCTTTTTTATCATGGAAATAAAGATGCATATTCCAGAAAAAAGTCTATCAGATCAAACATTTAAAAAATAGTCTTTATGCTTCAAACATTAATTAAAGGGATCCAAAATCGTTCTAAAATTTATGATCATTGCCCGTCCAAGAAGCGAAGGTATAGAATAAATAATTAATGTGAAACTAAATAAAATTTAAATTATACTTTTGCCTGAAATATTAAATTTGCATTTATTATACCTGTCAAAGTCGAGAACCATATTCAATATCAATATTTTAAACCAAAATTTCTATCGAAATGGACGACATTATATTCTACATACACATAGTGCTCTTTTTTTTTCATGAAACATAACATTTTGAAAACGGACAGTTAGGTATGGAAATTTTTTGTCGTCCATAAAATGGCAACGGAAATTGACTTTTGGCATTTTAGAGAACGGTGTTTTCTCATATTCTAGATTTCCAGCAACACATAAATGCTCAAATTTTATTCTTTTAACTTGGAGTTTTGGAATAATATTACTTTGCATGATATTTTTAGGGAAATTCTAAAGAAAAGTTGGATATGATTTATTAAATAAAAAATAATATAACATTTATTAAACGTCAGTAGGAGAAACCTAAAATTAACGGACTTATTTGACATTTGAGGAAATTAATCAGTATTTGAGGAAACTGATAAAAAAAACACCGTCGATATACGCTAATGTTTTGCATAACGTGATAAGGATAAATTTTTGCATAAAACGTGCAGTGAATTATTTCGCTTATATAAAGGTTAGTAAGCTGTACCTGTATATCCACTCGGACACTTCTGTACATCTCTAGCTCCTGCAGCAGTAATTTTCCAACGTGCTCCATGGCTATCTTCTGCACTGCATGTACTAGACGACATTTCTGGAAGAGAACAATTTGATGAGCTTAAGTGCGCATACACACGTTTTAATGCATGTAAATGAAAGAAGATGAAAAGTCGAAAACTAAGTACTTAACATAATCTACAAATCCGGGTTTCTGATGTGCATGAAAAAAATTTATAAATCCACAAAATTTGGTATCAGACAAATTTTATTTATCTTAAACTGTCGGTGCGAAACAGAATTATATATGAGTTTTCCCAAATGATACCAGCAAATTCATGAATTAAATAATTGGCTTTTATCTGATACTTTCTACTGCTCTCTTTAGAAGAATACAATATTTGCTATTTCTAGTTAAAATTATAAAGAAATTTGCTGCAAATGTCTTCTGAGAAATGTCTCCTGGCATCAGCAATTAATGATCAGATAATTCATAATCCAACGATGCAGTTCATAACTGCGGTAATTTGAGCATCAGGTATAGAGCAAATAAACAGCAAAACTATTCAATGCAAACTTATATTATAAAAGGGACTAAATGATGTCAGAAGCATTATTTATATGTCGTCATATCACTCTATTTAGTTAATTTTATGTTATCCCCATCTTACTGTACATGAGTTCAAGGTAAAATATATCGACGTGAGCTGGACAAATAAGAAAAATCTAAACTTACATAATACTAGTTACCTGAAAAGTAATGAGCTCCAACTCTCAATATTCATAAAGAAAACCTCATTCTAGAAAATAACATGCGAAACAATTCACCATGTAATATTTATTCACCCTTTTTATCAGAAACTGATAAATTAATTAAATGCTTAAAAACAGGAAAATCTGCAGATGAATATTTTAGCTTGCCTTTGTCAGTGAAAAATTCGTTATTATTTATATTATTCTGATTTATTAGTGAAGATATTATTTCATTTGCTGCTAAATCAGAGAAGTACATTTCTGCTAAAAAAAAGAGCGACAAAGGCAACACATGGAATAAAACAAAAACTATTTAATGGGTATGCTTAAAATTGTTTCGGAAGATGTTGGTGTGGCATTGCTAATCCGTATAGCGATCAATAAAGCAGACATACAAAAACACATTACGACCATCACGCCTCGAAAGACCAAAACGAGTACCATCTAAACAATAATTGAAAAACTTCAGTACAACCACGTTTGACAATGATTACTTTTCAGTTTCTCAGTACAAGTATTAAAAAAAATATATTTTGCCATTTGAAAACCCTATTGGCTATTTGTATTAAAGATGCACGCATAAAAAATATTAGATTAGAAATTAGTTACTATATTAATTATCTTCAAGGTTTTGAATTAAATTACAGTACTTTAATTCTAAAATTTAGTGCGAAATGAGGGCCAGTTTAAGGGAGATCAATTTCCTTATGCCTGGTCTTATTTCACTTAGTCTGTAGAGACATTAGAATTTTTTGGAGGAAGACTAAAAATTAGCCGCGCCTTCTCCTGGAATCGAACCTCAGAACTCTCAATTACGCGCTGAGCGTGCAGACTACTACACCACGAATGCACGCTGAGAAGTCGGTAGAAGTACCTTATATACTCCCCCTTTTAAAGGGTGACTGGGGTTTTTAAGGGATCCAATCGCCAAATCCTGAGTGAGGAGAATTATCATCCAACACCCTTTTAGTTCGGGTGCCACTGTAGGGACATTAGGATTTTTTGGAGCAGGCAAGATGAAAAATTAGCAACGCCTTCGACGGGAATCGAACCTCGGATCTCTCAATTACGCGCTGAGCGTGCCGACCACTACATCACGAAGGCTCGCTAAGAAGGCAGGAGAAATACCTTATAAGTCTTAACCGTAAATTACGACTCATTTTCAATTTTGTTCTGTATTTATTTTATAAATATGGCATGGAAGAAAATCCTTTTTCACACAAACAGGTTGTGCAAAAATGCAATAAAATGTTAATAGCTTTATTTGGAATGCTTTTAAATTATTTTTTCTAAAGTTCAGCCAAAAGTTTGCAAGTGTGATACTTTTGAAATCTTCAATCAGAGTTCGATCACAGAGCATTTCTTTCAATTTTCAATTGTCCTTTTTTTAAAAAAATAATAAAATAATATTGTATTTAAATAAAATTGCGAATCGCGAAATAAAATTGCAGGTACATTTGAACCAAATGGATTTCTAATTCAATTTTCTTTTCCATAATTCTCGGGAGTGTACATTTTGAAATTATTTATCAATGAAAATTATTTTTAATGTCGGAAGATAATTCTTTTATTTTATTATTATTTTCTGTTAAAAACGTTTTAAAAGTGGTGAAAAGCTTAAAATATTATTATCCAATTCTCGATATTAGCTCGAGTTTTTTATAATTTCATTTATTTTATTTCTAGTGGTAAACAAGTTAACATTTTGTCCTTGTAATCCTAAATTTAATTCATTTAACTTACCATAAATATCAGCTAAATATGTTAAACGCGTCAACCATACTTCTCTAAATAAACATCTCTGCATTTCAAATATTTAATCACACAGGATAATTTGAGTTTCTGATCGAAGTTCAAAACTTTGGATAATCACCTTCTTCAGAATCAAACAAAAGAGCTTCATCGTCAATGCCCATCTCTTGACATAAAATCGTAAATATTCTTGAAGCTCAGCCTTTTAATAAAATTAACAATTTTCACAGATTGCTTCAAAATTTTAAGGTTTCCAGGGATTGTTTTGGCTACTAAAGCTTCATGATGAATGGAGCAGTGAGTAAATTTAATTTCATGTGCTACCTTTTTTAGTTGAGAAATAACACCAGAATGTTTTCCTGTTAAAGCCCGAGCTCCGTCACTGCATACAACAATGCAGTTATTCCAAGGAATATCATTCTCAGACATAAAATTGTCAGTTACTTTGAAAATTTAATTTGCAGTTTCTCTATTATGAAGCGATTCACAAAATAAATACTCTTCGGCGTGTATGTACAGGGGTTGGACAAAAATATGGAAACACCTTTAAAAAAAACATGTTTCTTTGCTTAATATGGTGTAGGAAACCCTTTGGCATCCAAAACAGCTTGCAGTCTTCTCGGAATGGATAAATACAGTTCCTGTATGTTTACCAAGGGAATATTATACCATTCTTCCTGCAAAACGGTGGCAAGTTCAAATAACGATGTTGGCGTTGGATAACGAGAACGCACTTTCCGTTCCAATGTAGACCACAAAGGTTCGATAATATTCAGGTCTGGTGACTATGGTGGCGAGGGGAGATGGGACAACTCATCCTCGTGCTAAGAAACCAGTCCTGGACAATTATGAGCTGTGTGAACAGGGGCTTTGTCGTCTTGGAAGATACCATCACCATCGGGGAACAAAGTTTGTACCATGGGATGAACTTGATCGGCCAAAATGTTCACATAAGTCTTGGCAGTCATGTGCCCTGACACAGTTATCATGGGGCAGGCAGAGAACCACGATATGGCTGCCCAAACCATAACAGAACTCCCGCCATGTTTCCCTCTTGGCAACAAGCAGTCTAGCAGTCTGTATTATAGGCTTGAGATGGCGTTCTCCAGACGTAAACTCGGCCAGAAGTGGGAAACAATGTGAAAGAAGACTCGTCAGACCATATTACTCGCTTCCACTGCTCTATAGTCCAGGCTTTATGACTTAAACACCACCTTTTCCTGTTACGGGCATTAGCATCACTGATGAGTGGCTTCTCAATTGCAGCACGGCCAGCAATTCCCTGTTTATGAAGCTCCCTTCTAATTGTTTTGGTACTCACAGGTTCGGTAACACAACATTCATTTCAACAGTAACTTTTGCAGCTGTGGTCCTCTTATTTTTCGTCACAATTGCCCTTAATGATCGTCTGTCACGATCACTCAGGACACACTTTCGTCCGCGCTGTGATTTAGCAGATGATGTTTTTCCGCTTTTCAAATATGCGGAATAAATCTTCGATACAGTACCTCTTGAAACACTAAACACCTCGGCTACCTTGCTTATGGAAGCACCTACCATACGTGCTCCAACAATTTGCCCACGTTCGAAGTCTGTTAACTCTGACATAATGCAATCTCACATAACAGTACTCCGACAACAACTGAACTGTTTAGCACATTTACGAAGTTGTATATGTGGCGTCAGTAGTCAAAAACGCCAGCGCCACCTACATATTTCATTAAAATCAATCTTTCTTTTCAAACATGCATTTCACAAGGTGTTTCCATATTTTTGTCCATCCACTGTACTTCGCAAGGTACATACTAATAATTGATCTAAGTTCTTTTATATCAGTATTTTCATCCAATTGAAATGCGCAATATTCACGATGTTTTATTTTTTGAATAAGTGCCTCTATTATAGAATTTGCCACTTCATGAATTCGCACACTTACTGTATCATTTTATAACAGAATATTGTAATCATTGGCCGCTTTTTCATTGAATAATGTTTAAAACGATATCTTAGCTGCTGGCAATGTAAGGTTTCTTCTGTAGTGTGCACCTGCCCAGTCTTGGCATTCTTAGGCTTACTTGGTAACTATTTTCCAAAGCAACTCCGCTGATGTCTTCTTAAAATATTCCTCAGATTTTTAAGAAACAATGGTTTCATACTTTGATTCGATAATAGTTAACCGCAAACAACACATTAAGGTTGAGAGTCCATTTCATATCCATTTCAAGAAAACCCAAATGATAAAACAACCTTCATTATAGTTTCTATAAATAATTTTTCTTTCCTTTTCAATATTCTTAGTGCTAGTAGATTGTCCATCACCTGTGAATCATCACTTTGCCGCTTAGTCAGTCCTAGCCATTTTTCCGTTTTTAAAATTTAGGTTTGTCTTATGATTTTTCACAAAAATTTAAATGCACAATATATTACTAGTTCTTCAAAAACAAACAACAATATTCTCAAATCGTGTAGAAAAGTGAGGAATATAAAGCAACAAGACGACAAAATACCTGCTGTTAGGGAGAGCAAATTGATCTAAAAACTGCTTAAACAATATGATCCCGGAAATGGTGACGGCATAAAATGTAGACATTCTAATAAATTGATCAATTCTAAAAGTATTAATGAAATAGTATTACCTTTTTATATGAACTTATTTTTATTTCCTCTTAAATACAACATCCATTTATATTACTCCTTTTAAAAGCAGCATTTATGACAAATTTTGTTATACCTATGGCTAAAAGAATATTTGTGAAAATATTTTGCTAAAGTTCTTGAACAAAGCTGAGATTGCATAATTTTCCGAGGATTAGATAAAATACTTTAACAGGTTGTTGGAGTATTTAATTTTTGAATTTAATAGTTAAAAATATTTTGTTCCTTTGCGTACCCTCTATTTTTCTCTTGCGTACCACAGGTTGAAAACAGAAATGTTTTCAAATTAAATGCATGCTTGACAACGGCGAGGCAAGCCGGCAATAGTGTCGTTGATCGCTTGTTGTGGCGCTCATTCCTGTAGTAATGCATGTGAAATAGTTTCATTTTCGAGATAATTCTTCACCACTAGAGCTCTATGCGTGCGGGCCTTATCGTCCATAAATAATCGCGTCGGTACCCACTGAAGCAATAAAAGAACGCACAAAGGGGGTGGGGTGTAGAATTTTGTGGCGATATCAGAGACTGTGCCGGAACCGCCAGGAATCACGTAGAGGTCGTTGAGGCCGTTGGTTGCCATTCCACTGTAGAATACGAGCTGTTCCATTTATGTGTTAAAAGTTCCGTTTAATAAAAGGTTGTTTAAAACTTTGTAAGTTTTTATTATGCTATTTTAGCCATAGTGATAACTCGCTGCCTGTCTAGTAAGGTTATGAGACTTGAATTCCTGTACCAGACCAAGCATAATCTTATATATTAATTAGGTTCACATTTATACAATTTCATAATTGTACATAGAGATTCTGAAGTTATTTCTTATGTATAGATCAACTGTACTCGAAATTCTATAAACTCTAATCATTTTTTCTCTTTATGTCGCCTGCTCACCTGCAGAAATTCTGTTTATTGTGATCTTTTTATTGTGATTATTGTGATCACGGCAAAGCCTGAGGACTATCTGCTTCGGGTAAAGGAATGTCTTCGTGGAGGTCTTTCTAAGGATGTAAGATCTACTTGTTTATTTCCTAATGTGACAACTGAAGTACGTGTAGGAACTACACAGGAGAAGGGTAAAAAGAACCCTTTATTAACTCTTTAAAATTAACAATGCGTCGATTTGACGCTAACACACTACTCCTCACTCGGGTGGTAACTCAAATAACAAGAACTAAACTAAAACAGTGAAGTTATTAACAAGTAATAGAATTACTCTACAGAGCTAAGTTAATTCTATTACCTAAAATCGCATCGAAAACCTAGTGGCAGCAAAGTAATAGCTGTTACGCCATGTTAACCAGCAATAACTGCAGAAACAGATGCTCAAGCTACAGAGATACCGCGCTTGCCCAAACTCTCTAACTTTATTTTCTAGAACTCTGTATTTAAACCTTTTCTCCTCAAGGTAGAATATGCATTACTTCACGCGCGTTACCAAATTTAAATATTCTGGCATCCGTTCGGCTGCTGGTGGGCCTCACCTGCAGAAGAAACTAAGTAATGAAGACGTTGATATAAAAATAGCTGAGCGATATTTAAACTCAACCGTGATTCGTATGTCCTTCCAGTTAAGCCGAATTTCGGGTGGAGTCCGTTATGCAGGTGTTTATTGCATATTTTAATAATTTATCAGAAATCGCATTTTATTTACATTAATTGGATTATTTTTAGTTTAATAGGATTAATTAATTTTAGGATTTTAATAGTATTTAAGATTAAATTAATTACTATTTAAGAATATCAAAAGCTTCTGAAGTTAAAAAGCTCTTTTAAAATATTATAGAAATTTTAATTGCGCGCCATCAAACAAATTAAATTTGTTCTCATATTTATTTATTAAATCAAAAAATCAGAAACTTCCTTGCTTGCTCATCTTGGGAAATTTCTTTCGTAAAAATCGATATAATATAGACTGGTTTACTTTTACAGTTCAATACCACTTACCTTTCGCATTTAATACAGTGATATAGCTGGTTTCTCGTTTTGATACAGATGGCGCATGCACGATGCAAGTATAATTTGCGGATGTTGTAGCTTTTTCCAAGATGATTCGAGTTCCTGTCGGAAACAGGTCTTCTACTACCTCCATATCTCTCCCTTTCTGTATATGTCTGTTGTTCTTTAACCAGGTGTATCTGAAGTTCTCAAAAATGTCGTCTTTCGACATGCAGGTGATGTTGACAGTACTCCCCGCCAGCAGAGTTGCAGATAAGGGACTTATCAGAGGTTGAGAAATGGTTCGAACTAAAACAGATATAGAAACCTTTTCTTCACCTTGATTGTCACGAGCATGGCAGGAAAATGTACCTGGAATAAAAGACTGTGATTTATTTTTAGTTAAAGAAACGCTTTCGTGGGCAAAAAGGAAACATTTTCACAAATAAGGAAAATATACTAATAATAACTTTATGTTTCTAAAAGAACAATTTCTTTTGATACTTTTCTTTGAAGTGTGTGAATTTCTTTGAATGTGTACACCACGTGACATCCTTGTACGGAATATTAAATTATACGCATTTTTCTTGCATTTCATTTAAACCTATTGGATTGAATTAAATCTACTCCGTCGATAGCGCATAAACCACAATAGTACAAATGCACTTCTTTAAAATTCACTATATTTGTTTACCATAACGACACTCTGGCGCTAGGTTCAATTAACAGCGTTATATTTCGTTCATATTATATAACACAGAATGCACAAAATTTATATCATTTGAAGAATTATCTTATCGTTGCCACATGATCTATTCAAATACTATAATAAATATAGAACGATATATAAAAGAAATTAAGCAAACAAAACAAAAAATAAACAGTTTTTTAAAGACGATTCACTATTTCTCATTCAATTAATTCAGTTCTCACTTCGCGACAAGGCAAAAAATACATAAAAACTCAAAATATCCATATTAAAAATTACGAAGTAAATCTTAAACACTTATTTCCTCGAAAAAATTCCAGAAAGGATTAAGCATGATTTAATTCGCAATAATAAATGAAGGGGTTATTATTATTATTATTATTATTATTATTATTTTTGCGAAGCTTAGTCTCTCTAGATTGGCAACAAATCTACTATTCTGCTGTTTCAAATGTAAACAAACACATCCGTTATTTAGAAACAAGGCTTAAGCGCACTTAAACAGCTTTTAAATTATTGATAATTCTACAAATATTGCTTGCAGATTTCCTAAAGGCATAAAAACCTTAACCGGAAGATAAGAACAACACAATTCAATCATTTTAAAGCAAAAGAGGCACAATTTACAAACATATAAGAGTAAAGAACCTGAGATCACTAAGCAGGGTAACAGAGTGGATATATATATAAATATATTTATATACGTTTGGTGTGGCCAATTGCAACCAAAATACGAGGTGCACATCTACGTGTTATGGCAGTCCTATATACCAAATTTCATTGTTCTGAGGTTAATCGTTTCTGAATTATGCGAGAAACATACATACGTACAAGACACCACGAAAAATTCTCTTCAGAATTCATTTTAAAGCAGTTTCATAATTTTTTTGGAGTAAAAAGAGTCTTTTATTCTGTTCTTATGTACAGATGTCACGCAAAAACATCATTAAATTGCATTCGAAAGCGGTCAAAATGGATATTTTCGTTGAAATATGCTGCCTGAAACTTTTCGCTATTACAATACTTCCTTTTTACTTCGTAGAAGGAAGTAAAAAAGAATCATGATGAATCTAAAAGCGGAAGTTTTGAAATCAGAACGATAAACGAAGTCTAACAGAAAAGAGCTCTTAAAAAGTAGTTCTTACTTTTAGAGTATGAGAAATATTAAGTAAATATACAGGGTATTTTTTAAGTCCCGGACCCATTTTGATGTTTAATAACTCATAAAATAATAAAGATAGATTAAAATTAATAAGTCGATATTCAATTTCACGCCAGGTACCGGCAAGAATGTCAGCATCCATAGAGGCTACTGCGGTTGTAATTCTGGCTTTTCAATGTTCGACACTCTCCTCCTGTAAACGTTTTCCTTTACAAATCATCAAAGGAAAAAGTCCAGTGGCGTTATATCAGGTGATCTGGGTGGCCAAGGAATTGGACCTCGTAGCCCAATCCATCTTCCTGTAAAATGGTCATTCAAAATACTACGAACGATGGTACCCTAATGAGGTGGTGCATCATCTTGTTGCAAAAAGACATGGGGCTGAAGCTCTTCTAGTTGTGGAAATACGTAGTTTTCTAACATGTCTAAGTATACGACTGATGAGACCGTCTTTTCTGTAAAAAAGAAAGGCCCAATGACTCGGTCGTGCATTAGTCCACACCACACATTAACCTTTGGAGAATCCCTTTGTGCCTCACAGTATTTATGGGGTTTTTCAGATCCCCATATGCGCACATTATGGCGATTAACAATGCCAGAAAGATGGCAAAAACAAAAGAGAGAAAAATGCAATTACTAAGCAGACGATATTTAGAAGAGTACAGATATTTAGACTGGAAAATGAAATTATCTGAAATTAACCAAACGCGCGGACGATATTTACAAAAGTAAAGATATTCAAACCTGAAAAGGAAATATATAAGTTATTCCATCAGTAAATGCCATAAGTTTGTTTATATCTTCATTAGTTTATGAGTTATTAAACATCAAAATGGGTTCGGGACTTTATAAACACCCTATATATTTATCAGTAAACTTCAAAAAATCATATTTATGGATCTCAGCCAATAAATTATTAAAGTAATAAAGAGCAAACAAGACATAAATATACAAAACGCAATTCATAGTATGCGAGAAACAAATATGTACACTTATCAGTATGAATATGTAAATAGAAGTACCATCATAGAAGTTTTTACTTACATTTATTTATTTAAACTAAGTATACTACACACGTAGGTATATTTTAAAAATCATATTTTAAAATTATAGCGCTGTCGTATAGTTGATATAACTTGCTTAAAATTATATCGTGATCACGCATAAATGAATATTTTAGTATGTTTCGCTTTCTGAACTAAGACACTCCATCAGTGTATCAGTAATTTCAAGTTATCATTTTTAAATTAAATAATCACTGAGACACTATAAAATCGTCTGCATAATTTATTAGTAACTAGCAGCTTCGCTGCCAGCCTTCGTCTGGCTTTTAAATGTACCGGAAAAATGGTTGAAGGGAATACCAAAGGTTAAATTTAAAAACTGCTTAAAATTTTACTCTGCAGAACAACTTCATAAAAAAAAGTTATTATGTATAACAGAATTACAATGAAATAAGCAATATCCCTTAATACAAATAATAATTATCCTAATAAATAAATTAACCAACTTCCCTTTGCAAAGTCTTAAGAACTCAAATGGTATAAAGGAGGTTAAGAACTTTGTTTCCTAAAAAGATCACTCAAAACTTTTCAATATCTTAAAGACAGTGAAATAAGCAATAAATAATATAAAAGAATACAAAAAAAAAAAGTCTGAAAATCAAAGTATAATTAATGATATTTTATCTTATATTTTCGAGATACAAAAATTACAACGAAATAAGTTATATCCCTTAATGCAAATATTAATTATCCTAATAAAAAATTAACTAACTTTCCGTTGAAGAAAAAAATCATGCACAAGTTTTCAATATCTTACAAATAGTGAAATAAGCAAAACATAACATGAAAGAAACTCAAAAAACAAATAATTCCGCGCAGAATTTTACTCTGCAGAACAGCTTTATATTTAAAAAAAAAAAAAGTGTAATATATATAAAAAAAATCTGATGTGTACACCACATGATTTCCTTGTACAGAATATTAAATTATACGCATTTTTTCTTGCATTTCATTTAAACTTATTGGATTTAATTAAATCTACTTCGCCGACAGCGCATAAACCACAATAGAATAAATGCATTCTTTAAAATTTACTCTAGTATTTGTTTACCATAGCTACACTCTGGCGCTAGATTCACTTAACAGTATTAATAATTATATAACAGTTAACTTATAATTATATAACGGAAACTAAGTTAACTGTTATATAATCCAATAATTATATAACAGTTAACTTATATATTTCGTTCATATTATAACTCATAATGCACAAAATTTATATCATCTAAAGAATAGAATTATCTAATCGTTGCCACATGTTCTATTCAAATACTATAATAAAGCTAGAATGATGTATAAAAGAAATTAAGCAAAAACAAAAAAAAAAAAGAAACAGTTTTTCACAGACGATTGAGTATTTCTCATTTAATTAATTCAGTTCTCACTTCGCGAGAAGGCAAAAATACATAAAAACTCAAAATATCTATATTAAAATTTACGAAGTAAACCTTAAACACTTATTTCCTCGAAAAAATTCCAGAAAGAATTAAGCATGATTTAATTGGCAATAAATGAATGCGTTATCTTTGTTGTTGCGAAGCTAAGTTTCTCTAGATTCGCAACAAATCCACTAGTCTCCTGTTTCAAATGTAAACATCAATTGCCGCCATTAAAAAAAGGCTTAGCGACACTTAGACAGCTTTAAAATTGTTGATAATTCTGAAAATATTGCATACAGATTTACTAAAGGCATAAAAACCTTAACCGGAAGATAAAAACAACATAATACAATCATTTTTAAAGCAAAAATTGTACAATTTACAAACATATAATAGTAAAGAAACTGAGATCACTGAGCCGGGTAACAGAGTGGATATATATATAAATATATTTATATACGTTTGGTTGCAACCAAAATACGAGGTGCACATCTACATGTTATAGCAGTCCTATATACAAAATTTCAACGTCCTGAGGCTACTCGTTTTTGAGTTATGCGAGATACGTACGTACGCACGTACGTACATACGTCCGTACAGACGCCACGAAAAATTCTCTTCAGAATTAATTTTAAAGCAGTTTTATAATTTTTTTGAAGGAAAAGAGTATTTTATTCTGTCCTTACGTACAGATATCACGCAAAAAAAAAAACATCGTTTTAAATTGCATTCGATAGCTATCAAAATGGATATTTCGTTGAAATATGCTGCCTGAAACTTTTCGCGATTACAATACTTCCTTTTTACTTCGTACAAGGAAGTAAAAATGACAATGAAATATGCATATCTCTTAAAAACAGTGACATAAGAAATACGATGAAAAATTGTTGCCAAACCCACATTTCTAAAAGAATGAAACAATTCAAAATGATGCGATTTCATCAAAAATCTATCAACAACAATAAGAAAGAAAAATTTTTGGCAAAATCACATTTTTAAAGATGTGAGATGTGAGAAAGTATACTCGGAAGCTTCATTTAAAAAATTTCTTAAAAATACAAAACATTAACATTTTTCCAAAATTCTTTTTGTAAAGGCAGTCGCAAGGATGAAAGTTTAACGTTTCATCCTTGCGACATATATTTTGTTATTATAAATTGTCAGTTACTACAAATACATTTCAAGTAAAAACTCTGTAAAATATTTGAGTTTCTGACTAAGAACTCCTTCAGAAGAATAATCTTAGGGAAACAGAAATGCAAAAACCAGTAAGAAGAAAATTTTTGCTCAGAAAAATGACGCAGTCATCAGGGGTAGTAGTATCATAATATAATACGAATCAATCGGAATATTATCGTCAAATAGGCCTTTGTAATTCCTTTAGTTTTCTCAGAAAAATGACGCAGTCATCGGAAGGGCCATTATAATGTAATCGAATCAATCGGAATATTATTATCATCAAATAGACCTTTATAATTCCCATAGTTTGAAAGCTAACTTATTTGGTTCATTTTCATAAGATTATAATCATAAGTCTAAGACCAATCTTTCAAAATCTCTTCATCTAAGCTTTATAACGTTTTGAAAATTTTAATACGCCTGTGACCTTTCTTCTAAAGATGACCTTTGGTAGCTATATTTTATATAATTTATATATTTTTTATATTAGAAAAGCCAGTATTTATATATGGGACAAAATAAGCAATACTTATAGTCACTTATTTCCTTAACAAAATCTCGAAAAATTTACCGAATTAATATCCTGTAATCATTACTGACTACGAATTCAGTAGATTAAAGAAATTATTTAATTAACAAGCATCAGTCATCAACAAAACCTTCTTGCAAAGAAATTATTCTTTCGGACGGGTAGAACGTATTTAGCATTCATTTGCGAAGCACTTGTAAAACACTTTAAAATATCATTAACATCAAACTTAACATAAGGCAATAAATGTAAGTTTACTTTTAAATTTAGAACTAAGCAATGAATGATATGTAACCTTAATATTTTATATCTCATATTGAGTTACCCTCAATATATACTTTTTAAGGTCAAAGGTGTATTGTCTTAAATTCAGGTCAATACATATAATTAAAATATCGAGTTTTAACGAAAGTTTCCCGCCACTGCAAATATCTTCTGTGCAAACAGTTCGAGTTAGCGTGTTTAATCACATTTTGTCACACGATTTTTGACACTTGAAAGAAAGAGACTTACTTTGGAACACTGTATTGTAAAAAGGTCAGCTACAGAATGTCAGTAAATCATGTGTACAGCTGTAAGTACTAATGTTGTGCATTATCATACTGTGAAGGTTTGGTGCCGAAAGTTCAAAAAGAAGGACTATGACGTTCAAGAAGCAGAGCGCTCTAGCTGGAATACTGATGTTGATTAGGTCCACCTGCGGGAACCTGTTTAATAGAATCAGTATGTAAACACTCGAGAGCCTTCTAAGGAGTTAGAAATTTGTGCCATGTCCATTAGTCGCGCTTTGCATCACATAACCTTAACCGACAAATTCAATCGCTGGGTGCCGCATGAGCTGACTCAAGCAGATAAGGCTAGACGTGTTCGGGCTTGCACTAATCTACTCGAATATGAATGCAAGAGCAAGATTCGAGACTGCATCGTCACTTGTGATGAAAAGTGGATTAACTTCAACAACACAGGCCAAAAAGGGAGTTGGTTTGCGCCCGCTCAGCTCCTCGGCAACCTCGCAAAACACAATTTAACTAACGAAAAGATCATGCTTTGTATATGAAGGGATTGTCGTGGTATTATCCAGAAAGATTATCTGGAAAATGGTAGAACCCCTACAGTAAGGTGCACCGAGAGATGCTATGAATGAAAAACGTCGAATTGAGTTCCGGCGCAAAACGGTAATGTTACATCACGATAATGCAAAACCGCATGTGTCTGTGTTCACGGACTGGACTCTACGGACTCTAATGGGATCTTTTGCTACACCTACTAAATAACTCCAACATCGCTCTTGCGGACTTCTACATTTTTTTCACACCTGCAGCTACATCTTGCTGGCGCTATCTTCGATTGTGCACAGGACGCCCGAAATGAGGCTGATTTTTTTTGGGGGGGGGACTCGCGGCCATCTAGTTTCTGGGCCAACGGCTTTGAGAAACTACCAAATCGTTGGCAGAAGGTGATAGATTTGGCTGGTGATTACTACCCGCGTTAAAGGTGCTGCTTTCGTGTTTTCCCCCTAACTTTATTAAAACCCTTTTTTGGCGGAAACCTTTCCTTACAACCGGATATAATTCTTTTTAATACGAAATTTGAAAAAAGAAATAACTTGCTTGCCTGAATCCAGAGGATATATGGTATCAAATCCTAAAAGAGAAGTGTGCTGACCAGCGGAATTCTGAGGAATTGCTATGTTCCATATCCTCTCTTGAGCCACTAGAAATACAATAGGGAATCCGTCTCTGAGCCATTCAACTTTTGTCGATGAGTCCCCGCGAACAATACAAGCAAGCAGCAATGGATGTCCTTCCAGTATGGGCATGCTCTCTGATATTTCTATCCTCTGAATCGTTAAAGCTGTGGAAAAAAAAAAGATTTTATTTTACTAAGACGAACATATATTAAAAAATAGTTATAATGTGAGGAGTAATATATAAATTTCGCGTAATCTCGATTATTTGAATTTAGTATAACTAATAAAAGTTCTGAAATTTGGTTTTCAAATTAAAAAAAAAAGCTCTTTAAAGCGAATTATTTATTGTGTAACGTCATGTTAATTATTTTACCTGAATAGAAGTCTGCTTTGAAATATTTAATTTCCGATTATAAAGTAAATTTTCAGCAATGCGTAACGAAAATTTAAAAACCAGACTTATTAATTTTTCATATTGAAAAATGCGCACTCATTGTTTGGCCGCATTTAACATGAGTGTATAAAAATAAGAACTAAATACATACTTGTTAGTTCATGTTATTAGAATGAAATATTCATTACGAAATGCATGATTCTTTGCAGCTTATAGCGTTTACCACGAATAATGTACCAGAGCCTAGTAAGAACACTAGATGTCTGAATACCGAGTACAAAAAATCTGATGTGGGCATCACATGACTTCATGGTATGGTCTATTAAATTACACATAATTTGCTGCATTTCATTTAAAATTATTTTTAGAATTTCATTACAGATATATTTCTCATTCAATTAATTCAGTTCTCAGTTTGCGGCAAGGCATTAAATAAAAACTAATTAAAAACTCGCGTTAAATAAAACTCAAAAGATCTGCATTAGAAATTTAAAAATATAGAAAAACATAAAACCCGAATACAGTTAAAACAGTCAAGAAAACAATTTTTTAAATTAAAATTAGAGTTTTTAGGCTAAAACAAGCAATTCGGCCATCGGGCAAGAAGGCAAATTTTTCGGTGCACAAAATTAAAGTTTTTGTTTTGGTCCCACTCGGCAAAAAGACACTGAAAGTGAAGAAACTGACTTTACTTCACTAATCTGCTAAGTTTCAAATGTAAACAAATGGCTGCTCCGTTAGGTATAGTCACACTTAACTATAAAAAACTATAAAAAATTTACTATAAAAAAGATAAGAGCGCTTCAAAAACATGCCGAAAAATTTGTGAAGTATACGGTGAGAATGCTTTGAGTGAGCGGAGAACCCAGCAAATTTGCTTGATTCCATTACTGAAATTTAAATTTCGATGCCGAGATTGGAAGGCAATTGCCCATTATGAGCTGCTGCAACCTGACGGAACCATCAATTTAGCCCTGTACTGTACTCTAACCGACCGTTTGAACGAAGCAGTCCAGAAAGGGGGACCAGACATGGCCAATAGAAAGTGAGCTGTGTTCCATCGTGACAATGCTCCGCTATACACATTTTAATGACTCGGAAATAAATTGATGGAACTAGATTGGGAAGTTTTGATGCACTTGCCGTATAACCGGACTTTGCACCATCTGACTGCCATTTATTTCGGGTATCTACAAAACATTGGCCGACCGAAGTGCCGCTGAAAATCACTTGGCCAAATGTTTTGACGATAAACTACCGAAGTTTTACACCGATGGAATTATGAAGCTACTACAAAAATGGCCAAAAGTCATAGATGATAATGGTCAATATGTAGTTGATAAAAACTGATTTTCAATAAAGAAAATTTTTGTTCAAAAATGTATAAAAAGCGCGGAGACCTTTTTATATGACACAATATATTCATCCCGACATTCAGAGACTCTAGGGTAGGATAAATACTATATTTAGATAGGCAAACATAGGAATAATGTATTAATATAGAAGTCAAACAACAAAATCAGCGTTATATTTCCAAATTTTCACAGAACTAGTTCAGATGGTTTTACCGAACCATGATCCTAAGCTGCCAAGCGCAAATGAACGAGATAAGATATAGTAATTAGATAAGATAATTTCCTTAAAGGCTGAAGGCAAAGATGGATTGAAATTAGGGTCGTTAACTAGACAAGAAAGATTGTTTTGAAAATGAAATGCTTCTAGAATATCTAATTCACCAATAGAAGATGTTTTTTGAATAGTTTTGGCTGCAGAAAAACTGAAAATGTGATTTTTGAACTCGTGTTTCTTAACGCGGAATTTTAAGGTTCTCTTAGTTTGACCAATGTAAATTAAACCACACTGGCAAGAAATCCTGTAAATACCCCAGGAATTCATATCCGGAACGGGGTCCTTGAATATGGAACTCGGAATTTTATTGATAGGAGAATAAACAAAAGTTACATTTCTCTAAAATACGTGCAAATTTGTAGCTAAATGATAGAAAAAAAGGGAATGACAACAGAATTGTTATAGTCTCCTAAAACAAGAGTGTGCCTTTTCGTGTGTTGACATGAGAATTGTTTAACTGCTTGATTAATAATGTTGGGTGAAAAGCCCCTGTCAATAACTACTGCTTTTTAAATAGTTTAGTTCTTCATCAAGGGCTAGTTTGGAGGAGCAAACTTGAAGAGCACGGAAAACATAGGAATAATACGAAGCTAACTTTTGTTTAGTCGGATGACATGATTTGATGGTGATGGTGGAAGGCAAACCAATGAAGGTTTACTGTAAACCGTAGTCCTAAAGTTGAATGTGTTATGTTTGACCAAAATATTGAGGAATGGAAGAGAATTGTAAATCTCAAGTTTAAAAGTGAACTAATTAGCAGGATGAATGGAATTTATTGTTGAAAGAACTTTTTTTAAATCCTCTTTCTTACCTTCAAACAGGGTAAAAGTATCTTTTATGTATCGGAAACATACCGGGAAGTTTAAAGTTTAAAATAATTTTGATTCATAATAATGCATGTAGATATCAGCAAGGATGGGACTGAGGGGCTTCCCATGGCTAATCCCTCAGGTTGCTTGCAATACTTATTTTAGAAGAAAAAAAAAGTGTTTGTTTCAAACACTTGGTTTGTTTTGTTTCTTAATTATAGGAATAATGTCTTAAACATCTGCAATTTAAATGCCTTTCGGTGATCTGACATACATAAGTCACATCAAACGTCTTAGCTTTCAAGCAGCAGACATTCGTCTGTAAGGATAAATGTCTACTCTATGTAACTGGAATCGATAGATTTTAAACATAAGTAGATTTTATATTTAGCGTCATAATTCAAAAGCAGTATTTCATTTTACGAGGCGCAATTTAGCTTGCAATAGCGCATGCACTCTATTGCAAGCTAAATTGCGACTTAAAAGTAGTATTTAGAATTATAGCAGTATTTACAATATTTTAATTTTTTTTTAATTAAAACAAACAAATTTCTAAAATGTAGGAAAGCTGTGAAAGAAAAAAGGAAATAACAAATAAAATTTCGCTCATTAAGTCTCAGTTATAAAATGTTTTGTGAGAGTTTGTTTTAATTTTCTAACAGGTATTTTTATTTTGGAACAAGCCTTTCTTTTACTTTCTCATTTTTCATCTATGTCTTCCTATCAGAATAAGTTTTCAGATTACGTTTTGTGTAAATGAGTTAGAAAGAAACAAGTACAAGGTGTAGCAAAAAAAAAAAAAAAAAAAAAAAAAAAAGACTGGTCCGATATATTATTGTACTTACAGAATCAGTTCTCGGTGATATTATCACCTTCAAAGTACTTTCCTTCAGCAGTGACACATTTCTGCGTTCGGTGCTTGAGTTGCTGATAACAGTTTCGGAACAAGGTTTTCGGAAGGCGCTTCAGGAGATTCTCCGTTTTGCCTTAACCTTTTCAGCAGAGGTATAATGGGTTTCCTTTAAGTAAGTATTAACTTTAGGAAATAAACTTAAGCGGCATGGAGCCAAATCAGGTGAATAAGGAGGATGCCCCATCACAGTACTGTTTTTGCTGGTCAGAAACTGCTTGACAGATAGGGCAGTGTGAGCGGGTGCATTGTTCTGGTGCAGCAGGCCATCCATCATTCCAAAAGTGTGTCCTTTTTTTCCTAGTATTTTAGTACTTCAATGTAGTAGTGTTGATTAACAGTCTGACTACTGTAAACCCATTTCAATCACGATGAACGTGATGGATGCCCAAAGGGGCGCCCAGCACGTTCATCATCTTCCGCACTATCCCTTCCTTCTGAAAACCGCTTATGCCATTCAAACACACCTGCATGAGACAAGGTTTCGTCTCCATAAGCCTCAGTTAACATTTGAAATGTTACCTCCGTGGCTGATTTCTTAAGTTTCACAAGAAACTTGATGTTGATTAGCTCTTCAATTTTTACATTAGAAATTTTTCTGGTAGAATGCAGTTGCACGTGTTCACTGAATGACGCAGTACTCCCCACTTGCGTGGGCACTTAAGTCGAAACTGTTCGCATGAATAGAGGAGGTGTGTGGCATGACGTCACCAAAACAGTTGTTGCCAACTCCATCTGTTTTCAAACTACAGAGTCTCGTTTTTTTCGTGTCACACTTCGTATTTAAACTGAAGTCTTCACTTCACTAAATCAGCTTAAAGAGCGTAGAAGTCCTTGTCTGCGTTCTTGCTGCTAGTCTAATCTTACTGCTATTCGGCCGTACTGTAACGTGGCTGCGAGCATCCATCAGTGATTTTCAATAAGAGAAAATGAGATACATTCGATGACCTCATTTATCACGTGACTTATGTATATCTTTTGTAAATAAACAATGAAGATACCTTCAGAGATCACGTGACTTATCTACAACTAATGCTAACAAGCAAGGTCATTCCTCCTCTTCTTCTCTTGCGGAATGTATCTCATTCTGTTAGTTGATTCTGTGCAGCTTTGGCGGATTTTATTTTCAGCATTAGATTAGTTTTTTACTAGCCCAAGGGGGCAATTTACCCAGAAGTGCTAGTAATTTCGTTTTGGCATTTTCCGTCGCCCACTATAAAACGATGTTTCACTTTTCAAATTGTTGCTACAAAATATTAGATCCCTGCATTATATTTAAAGAAATTAAATAATGAAGAATATCAATGAATGTAAGTATATATTTCTCGCATTGAGAAAAAACAACGGAATCTAGAGACATAAAATTTTAAATAACGTTGTCCACTCGAATATGGGCATTTGGAAGCCCAAACTTGGAATTTGTTTTATTATCTATTTTCTATTTTGTAAGGCTTTAAGCAATTTTTGATTAACAAACTCAACGATTTCAAAGCGAGCAATGATTACATTGTACAAAAAACATTTTCATCGCCAGCGCGCGAGACTGTGTATTTCTAAAGATATGTTGTGTTGTTTTGCTGTTTCTAAATATTTTGTGATATTGCTCTGAATTGAAATTTATATGGTTTAAGTGCGAAGAACATGATATTTAATAAATAAACACACACATTCTCTTACACAAAACGTTAAAAAACGCCTATTTGGGGGTAATATAAAATCTGAACTCCTTTAGATTTTACTTTATTGTAGTAATTTAAATTCAAGACATTTAAAATAAATTTAGCCAGAAATACGGACAAAATTTGTTTGTTTTGGTGAACAAAGACTAGAAATAAGACTGTCTTGAATAGAAGAGGATTTATCTAGAAAAAAATGCATACAAAATTTTAAACATTAAAAAAATGCCCAGTTTCATTAAAATTGTAACTTCTCATCTTATTTCAGCGATCAACGATTTTAAAATGAACAGTGTCAACACTGTATGGAAAAACAATAATTTTTATCTCCAGCGCGCTAGATTGTGTATCGGAAATTCTAAAGATATGCTCCTTTTAAATATTTTGTGGTATTGCTGTTGAATTGAATTTTATGGTTTAAGTGCAAAGAACATGATATTTAATAAATAAAGTTAACAAGCAAAACGTTGAGAAAACGCCCCTTAAAGCGTAATATAAAATCTTAAAGCTTTCAGATTGTTTTTAATATTTATTTTCTATCTCGAGTTAAAACACGAGTGGAAGCTTATTGTAAGCCCAAGAATGGGCTGTTTGTTCATCTAGTTTGAGTTGGAATAGAGCGTAAATTAACGCTTCTTTAAACTTGATACTTATCAGAACTCTGCGATAAGTCGCTACACAGTTCCTAAATATTCTAATACTTAAGGACTTTTAAGTTCACTAGGATATTACAGTTTCATTATTAACCAAATATACTAGGTAAAGATTTCTCCTCGTTACCAAAATCTATAGTTCCTATGAAACCTATAATAAGACAAGATTACTTAACGAAGTAAAATAGATTACGGTTATTAACAGAGATCAGATTTTTAAAAATCCTTAGCCCAAAATGCTTTCATATCATGCCATGTAACGCATAAAACGTAAATAGGATAAAATCAGTGTCCATAATAAACAAACAATTTGAATGAATGGCAATGGCATATATGTTGATATTTTCTGTATCCAAAATCATAAAAAGTAGGAATTTTGAGTATTCATCGGTTTTGAAGTCTTTGTCTGGATATAAAAAAATAATCTAAAGTATTTCAAAAGTTATGTAAAGTTCAAAATTTTGGAAATTGATCTAAAACTTCGCGCTTTCATGTGTAAGACTATCAGAATTCAGTCAAACGGAAGAAAAATTGGTTAGCAATCATTTATGCATTCAGTCTCTCACCTGAGATTCTAATCTTATTTGAAATTATAAATTCTAGTGCTCTAACTAACTACGAGTATATTAATAAAATCTTTGCAACCAATATTATTATAGAAACTTCCTCCTTACCCGGCTGAGTTTCAATAAACAGTTTCTGTATTTCAAACGGAAAGTATTCATCCTGCAGATGTTCCAGTTTGTCTTCAACATCGGCCATGTCTCCTATACCATCAGGATTTTCAGCAACGAAATGAGCTTCAATGAATCCATCTTCCCTTAAAAAAGACAGCAAATATAAATTTCACATTTTTTTAAAAAGATAATTTATAACTTTTACATCTTCCCTCTCGCCTTGATATTCTAGGTAAAATAAAATGAACTGGAACTTAAGTATTGCTTATTAATAATATAATTAAGATTGCAATTAAGGCTTCTTGTAATTTTGCCCGCTTTTGCAAAACTAAAGAATTTTACACGTATGAAAGATTATACTTTGCTTATGAAATCAAGAGAAGGGAAAATATTGAATTTGCAATCCATATTGAAATTTATTGTAATAAGCAAAGAAATTTGTAATAAAGCTCAAAATGATTTTCACTACATTTAGTGTAGAATAAACAAATATACACGGCATTTGTAAAAGATGGATGCAAGCTTCATGTTTAAAGACATCGAACTTGAAAATATCGACCATGTACTTCAGAGCAAGAGAAAATATTATTCGAGAACGATTTTAACAGTATAGGTAATAGTGTTTTACAGAAATAAAATTTAATTCCTGTAGAATAAAATTAGAAAAGTATTCATTACAATCTGGTGAGTTTAAAGCAAACCAACTTGCACAGTTAAGAGAAAATTTAGAGGTGGTATTCGAGAAAGAATTATTTTCCCGAAATCATCTCCCTTTACCTGTTTCCGACCTAATCCACACATTTTAGGAAGGAATTTTATAAGCACCTGAGAAATAGAAAATATTTCATTTCGCCGATTCTACTTTGAATTCGTAGGGAAAAAATAGCATTCATTATTAAATGTTTAGAAAAACAATGTTCAAGATTGGCAGTTTTAAACACTAAGAATAGAAACGTTTTTAATTTGTTAAACGAATATTTTAGTAGCTGGAGTGCTGTATTGCGAGGGGATGTACGAGTGTTTTTTATTACTTTTTATTGATCATTTCTATATTAGTGTTTATTCGACAAAATCTCTACCTTAAGAAATTTTTCGATTAGAAATATTAGATTGGACGGAATCTGCAGTACTTTTCATAGCTTTGTGAAAAATTATCTGTTGGAAAGATTTTAACAGAAGTACATAAAATAGGGCATGAAGCAACACAAAAATGCTTTCAAGATGAATGCGCTTTTTTGCCATTCACTCTATTGCAATTTTGAATAATCCTTTTGCTTGCGATTGTTTATTTGATGGATTTAAATTCTTCCTCAATGCTCTAAATTTGAGTCGTCACCCTTAAGACCATGTTTCATAAAACGTAAGAGAATGAAATTCAAACTTGTAGTTGATGGGTTTTCGTTACGAGAATATTAATATTTTCAACGGCATTTGCGAATCGTACAAATCCACTTAGTTATATTTTGCAGAATGTTCTATCGGTTTCATAAAGCCACACTAACTGGCCAACTACACAAAAATAGCTAGGAAAGCAAGCTTCAGAAGCACAATAGTTTGTCCTCATAAAATTCTCGTATGAAAGTCTTAGCTCTCCTACCTTCGCGTCAGTGTTATGGAGGAGACAACATGATGCCTATATTTTACCGTGAAGCCCAAATGTAAACTTTCTTCTCCCTTTTATGCATTTCATACTGATGTGAAATGTCATCTTCCCGCACTTTATTTCACTGAAGTGAAAAATTTGAGTTTTGTCAATAAAAAGCCGTCTTGGATAATGTGAATAAATTTTATTTAGACTTTTGGAACTCCTTTGAAGCATATAACGCCTCCACCTGAATAAAAACTAATAGTACAAAATTTTATATCAGATCTTTAGAGCATTTTCTGATGTTGCCATCCCGGTAAACATAACTATGTTTCCTTTATTTATAATTCACGATCTTTACGTAACTTGAGTCAGATCTTAGAATATCTTTTTATTCTAATTTTTCCATTCCGGAAGAGCTTAACTCTGTTTCCTTTATTTAATTCACAATCTTTAAAAGTCCCTCCACGAGAAGCACATTCGTCACCTTACAGGAAATGTCGCTCAGAGTTCAGAGAGAGAGTATGGAAAAAACAGTAATAGAAATAACAGCAACACAAGTTTCCATTGAAACAATGAAATATAAGTGAGAGCTCCAAAATATGCCCCAAAACAAAATGATTTCTGAACACATTCTGAAAAGTAAATACGAAACTACATATATATACATATACACGCTATCATAAGTTAATACTACAATATTAGATTAATACTATCGGAAGTATTTAAAATTTGTGTAGTGAAAATAAGTTCTCTTTATAATTTAATAATTTTGCCTACGAGTTAACTGATAATCTTAAGGCATCAGCTTTCCCGTGTGAACTGCCTTCTCTTTAGGTCTTAGCTTTACAACGTTACAATATGAATGAGTAATTTTCTTTACAAACTTCAATGAATTTTTTATGGTGTAAATATTATTATCTAATAGAGTTGAAAATCTAGAAACTATTTGGCTAACGGATGAGCGGCAGTGCTTAAATTTGATACAAGCGACATTTGATACACATTAATGTACAACATTTGATAAGCAACTGTTTTAAGTTGGTCGAAAGCATTTGTGAAGATTTGATCGCAGTTCATATTTTTGACAAATCCAAAAGTGAAGGATCTTTAGGGATCAGATTATATGGTCCTTCGTTTAAGAGTTTAGTGACACCAACGATGTAAGTATTCTTGCCCATGACGACTATCTGGCCACCTTTGTCGGCCTTTGAAATAATGTCTGGGTTAGAATGAATTTCGCGCATTTTAGCTCTTTCTCTCGCGTTTAGATTTGCTTTTGAATGCTTATTGTTGAATTTCACATTATGGGCGATAAGATGCTTAATCATTTCTTTCTGTGTATCTGAAACGTTACTGAATTTGGAAGCTTTTTCGATAGGAGTGAATATCTTTGGAATCGTGGGTTTTGAGGTAAAATTACATTTCAGAATTCTTTCTTGTTCGTCTGATGGACAAAAACTAGAAATATAATTTTATTGGCTTAATAGTTGCAATGGGAAGATTTTTTATACTACTTCAATTGCAAGACTGTAAAATGAATTTTGGGAATTTAATTGCAAAGCAAAGATCTTTTTATGATGGTTAACCACATTCTCAGTTGTAGACCAAGACTTATGCCCAATGGCAGTGAATTTTGGATATAAATTAGCGAGTTCTAGATGAAGCTTCTACAGCTCTAGCTCAATTTTGGATATCTATTGACGTGTATCCTTTATTATGGACCGAAGCAAGCCAAGTTTGCAGTTTAAGAGAATTCTTGAAACACGATAGGAAGATTTTGGATTAAATTTTATTTGATTGAAATTGGAGATCAATTTTTACATTACCATTACGCTTTAGTAAAACGTCAAGCGTAATGGTAATGTAAAAATTAGTAAAACGTCAAGGTGATCCAATAATTTCTGTCTTCTCAGGCGTAATTTAGTGAAACGATTAAAACAATGAATAAAATCAAACAACTTTACTAACCAATAATAAGGCTCAAATCATTGAAAATTTCACACTGAAAATGAATAGAAAACAAAATATTTGCAATTAGAAAGAATGAAATCAGATAATCAAAGCACAGTGTCAAATAAGAAGAAAGGTTAAAATGTGTGAAACATAAATCAAACTTAAGGAAACTGGAAAAACACTTACCAAAACTCATGCAATCACAGAATGGCGAACACAAAAGTGGGAAAAAAAGGAAGCCCAAAATAAGCCTGCTTGGGGCTTAAGTTAAAATAATTAAAGTGAAATAACACGCCGAACTGATATTAATTTAGACGTCAAACAACAAAAATCAGTGATATATTTGCAAATTTTCACAAGACTAGTTTCGATGGTTTTACGGAATCATCATTCTCAGAAATGAAATGAACGAGATAAGATATGGTGATAAAATAAGATAAGATAATAATGGATGGCCAGGAGATAAGCTACTTGCGCCATCTATTAATGAAACAAGAAAATTAAAACATAATTTCCTTAAAGGCTAAAGGTAAAGATGGATTGGAATTAGGGTCGTTAACTGGAACAGAAAGATATTTTTGAATGTGAAACGCCTCTAGAAAATCCAATTCACCAATGGAAAATAGTTTTTGAATAAATTTTGATGCAGAAAAAAAGAAATTGTGATTTGGACCAACAATACTGGGCAACACAGAGTTTCTGTGTTTCCTTTTCCCTAATATATGCCTCATGTTCTATAACGCGAAATTTTAAGGTTCTCTTAGTTTGACCAATGTAAATTAAATAGAGTTTGTAGGAAAAGTTAAAAGCTTTCCTCCTAGAAATTGACTCTTGCTTTCTTTTTATGTAAAATCATTATTCACCAATGTTTCAGTGGAGGGTGGCATTGAGATATCTAGAAACCAGACTTCGGGAATTTCCTTTAATTTCTCCTACATCGAAATTTATGAGCTAATATTTTCACTCTGTTTGAAACAAACGCATTTTGTTTTCCAAAATAATTATTACAAGAAAATGTGGGATTACCCATGGGAAGCCCTCTTAGTCCCATCCTAGTTGATATCTACATGCATTATTAGGAATCAAAATTATTTGAAACTTTAAACTTCTCGATACGGTTACGCTAACCAGACGATACTTGATTCCTGTTTGACGGTAATAAAGATGATTTAAATAGAATTCTTTCAATAATGAACTGCACTGATTCTTCTATTTAGTTCACTTTTGAACTTGAGACTTGCAATTCTCTTCCATTCCTCAACATTCTGGTCAGATGTAATACTACATCCAACTTCAGTAATACGGTTTACAATAAACCCTTATCGGCTTCGGCTTGCCTTCCACCTCACTTCACATCATGTCATCCGACTAAACGAAAGTTAGCTTCATTTTATTCGTTTGTTTTCCGTGCATTTCAAGTTTCGAAACGAATCATTTCATTAGAAACAAGTATCTAGCCTTATGGCTGTTAGCTTGTATTAATGTAAGTTGAGCATTTGGAGTAATGAAGTAGTGCGCAGAGCGCCAAAATAGGCGATAAACATTAGAGTCTGGCATCCCAGGATATTTGGCGGTAGACGAAGGGTGTGGTAGATGATAGCA